TATTCAATTTACTAGTGGTCTTTTATTTGTCTCCCTCCATCCTTTATTTGCTAGCATTTTCTGTTTCTGGGTGACATGAACTCTATTGATCATACCGTCCTGGAATCATGGTTTACTAAAAGCAAGTGGATTTGAGATTTCATTCAACAATTTTTACAACTTAGTTTGAAGCAGTCAATAGCAATGTTTCATTAAAGGAAATCTTTTTATAATACAGGAACCAGTCAAATGCAAATAATTGGTAATACAACTTATCTGTCAGAGTACATATATAAGTGTCTAAATTGTCTATCAACTTAACAGTTTAATCTTTTTTTTTTTTAATTTCATCATATATCGTTTAGTGTCTACCTGTTTCTCATACTAATGCTGTAACATTTGACCTTGAGAAATGCTAAAAGAAATCCTAAAGCATCATGTCATATCCTGCTTCTTTGGTTCAGAGACAAATTAAACTAGCTTACTGTTCACAGCAGATTCAGCAACTCTGAAATTTTTTTTTTTTGGCAATTTGACAAGTTATAGATTAATAAGGTTTTGGTTTATACTAGCCAAGTATAGTTTATTTCAAGAGCTCAAACTCAACACTGCTTATGTGCTTAATATTCTGTTTCCTCAGAGTTTATTGATTCTGCAGATGTTGAAGTCCCAGCTGCTTGTGCCATACTGATATTCTTGTTCGCCCTCCAACATTATGGGACACACCGCGTAGGATTCTTGTTTGCACCTGTTGTGATAACATGGCTTTTATGCATCAGTGCAATTGGGGTGTACAATATTTTCTATTGGAATCCCCATGTCTACCAAGCGCTCTCTCCATATTACATGTATAAATTTTTGAAGAAGACCCAAAAGGGGGGTTGGATGTCACTGGGTGGGATCCTGCTTTGTATAACAGGTACAAGAGTGTGTAAACTGTACTCTCTTTTAGCATTGACTTGACTGTCACTTCTTGTTTTTTCCATAATGTCTCTCTTCTCATTGTTTCAGGCTCGGAAGCTATGTTTGCTGATCTTGGACATTTTTCACAGTTGTCTATCAAGGTAATTTGTTGCTAATTATGTAATTTTCCATCTACATTATTACTGGTTTATTCAATAACCTATCTAATTCATGTGTAGCTGCATAAATACATAAATTAGTTGCATAAATGCATTATTGATCAACAACTGTTAGGTAAAGGATGAAAAATATAATCTACTTCCTAAATATTCATTTGTTTCCCAAATGCATCAACATTTGGTGCAGTGACTGTAACAATGATCCTATGTCTATGAATGTTGTTGAAGAACAAAAAAAGCCCTCTCTATCATATGCTTCTTCCTTTCTAAATGTTTGAAAGGTTGTTTTACATTGTCGAAAAATATGCAGACGAAGAAAATGGATTGGTAGTACCAAGAAGCCATCAATTCTTTCTCTTTGGCTCATTTCAAATGGGACAACCTCCTTTCTCTTGTTGCTGCTAATTGCTAAATGCTAATAAACAATTTTGAAACATTGCTAGCACACCATATGCTTATTAATTAAACAAGAAGGTCATGTTGACTTCACAAGAAGATTATTCGGATAGAACAATGCCTTCATCACATCATGCACTATTAAAACAAATATTTTTCATGTTTCCTTGCTGACTTGACTCAGTTATGTTCATTTGTAATTCCTGTAAAATTACCTAGTAGTTAGTATTTTTGATGTAGAATGGTGGCATTGTTATTTCCCTAAGTAAACTCAACTGTCCTGCAGATTGCTTTCACCTTTGTGGTTTACCCATCCTTAATCCTTGCATATATGGGGCAAGCTGCTTATCTTTCTAAGCATCATATTCTTGAAACTGACTACAGGATTGGATTCTATGTGTCTGTACCTGGTAGGTTCTTCATAGATTTTGAAGCAGATATTTGATCTTCAAAATTGTTATTTGCTAAGTCTAGGCACCATTGTTGTTTCAGAGAAAATAAGATGGCCTGTTCTGGTTATAGCCATACTTGCAGCTGTTGTAGGAAGTCAAGCCATCATTACTGGAACATTCTCAATTATCAAACAATGTTCTGCTTTGGGTTGCTTCCCAAGGGTCAAAATTATCCATACTTCATCCAAAATTCATGGCCAGATTTACATTCCAGAGATCAACTGGACTCTAATGCTGTTATGCTTGGCTGTGACTATTGGTTTTAGAGACACAAAACGCATGGGCAATGCATCAGGTACCATCTTCTCCTTTCCATTTTATTTACTTAGTTTTCGGTTGGGGAGTGGGGGAGACGGGAAATGTGCATCTGCAACACTTAACAACATGCCTTTGAAATGGAGATAAACTGTCTTCATATTCTGATATGATAGAGATAAACCGCTGATGTTGGAGCTCCAATTTCTTTTGGGTTAACATTTTCTTCTGAGAATTTATAATCATGATCATTCTTATAGAATCTTCTTCTCTCATTGAACAGGTTTGGCAGTTATAACAGTTATGCTGGTTACAACAAGCCTAATGTCCCTGGTTATTGTCTTATGCTGGCACAAAAGTGTCTTCCTAGCTATTTTGTTTTTATTCTTCTTTGGATCCATTGAGGCACTTTACTTCTCAGCATCTCTTATCAAGTTCCTTGAAGGGGCTTGGGTTCCCATTGCCCTTGCTTTTATATTTTCAGCTATAATGTATATTTGGCACTATGGCACACTCAAGAAATATGAGTTTGATGTTCAGAATAAGGTCTCTATCAATTGGCTCCTTGCTCTAGGGCCCACTCTAGGTATTGTTCGGGTTCAAGGCATTGGCCTTATACATACTGAGCTTGTTTCTGGAATCCCAGCTATTTTTTCTCACTTTGTCACCAACCTCCCTGCTTTCCATCAAGTTTTAGTATTCCTTTGCATCAAATCAGTTCCAGTACCACATGTCAGCCCCATGGAAAGGTTCCTAGTGGGAAGAGTTGGTCCAAAGGAAAAAAGGCTGTATCGATGTATTGCCCGTTATGGATATCGAGACATTCACAAAGATGATTTGGAATTTGAGAAAGATCTTGTTTGTAGTATTGCAGAATTTATTCGGTCAGAGAGGCCAGAGTGTATTATTGGGGTAGAAGACGTGGAAAATGATGAAAAAATGACAGTTATTGGGACTTCATCATCAAATTTAGAAGGTGTAAGAATGTGTGAAGATGGTGAAGAATCTTCTGAAATGGTAGAGGACATTAAAATGTGCAAAGATGATGATCCGGATTCTTCTGAAATAGTATGTACCTCAGAGCTAATGGAGACAAAGTCCCCTGAGAGGCTGAGGAAGAGAGTGAGGTTTGTTGTCCCTGAAACCCCCCTGATCGATAGGGATGCAAAGGAGGAATTGCAGGAACTGATGGAAGCAAGGGAGGCAGGAATGGCATTTATACTTGGACACTCATATGTAAGAGCAAAGAAAGGATCAAGTCTGATGAAGAGAGTTGTGATAAATTTGGGATATGATTTCTTGAGGAGAAACTCTAGAGGACCAACTTATGCCTTAAGCATTCCTCATGCATCTACACTAGAAGTTGGGATGGTCTACCTGGTATAAATTTGAGTATACAGTACAGTCTTGTAATTCAAGGATTTTCTTTCTTCCAATCTTATTGTATATGATAGAACACAGCTTTTTTGAGATTGTAGTCTGACTGCAGATTATAAGGGATCATATTATTGTATATGATAGAACACAGCTTTTTTGAGATTGTAGTCTGACTGCAGATTATAAGGGATCATAGTTCATTATGTAAGTGCTGTCATGGTTTGACAGTCAAAAACTCTCTAGTTCTCAACAGCATCAACTTACAGAGGTGGCAAAATTACAAATCGACAAGATTTGGAGTCTCATAACAAACAAATCTCAACATCACCGTAAGATTATGGCAAATTAAGGTAGTCTAAAATCCAACAGAACTTGTGTAAAAAGATAGAAGACAAAGATAAGAAGGTCAGTGGCACATCATGGTAATTCCTATACTGTGGCACAATGTCCAAAAAAACCAGAAAAATATGTCTATGCAAATTGCAGAACTTCCCAGAGTGAAAGATGATAGCAACTATTTCAAAATTGAGATATCAGTTTATGGTTCATAATTATTGAGATGAATAAAACTTTTCCTTTTATCAAAACTATGCAACAAACAATGCCTGCAAATTTCATACTAAGTTATAATTTGATAGTGTTGTCAATCTTGCTTGTTTTAAAACTGTTTTTTTTTTCTGATTCATATATAATCATCAGGAACTTGAACAAGCTAAAGACGCAAATTGGCATTTTAAATATGTGATTATAATGGTTGGTTTTCACTATTAAGACTCTTAAGTCATCATTGCCCAAGGCATCTTACCAAAAACATTGCTTATTCTAGTATTCGACCCCATGGGAAGGAAATAAACTAAAACATTTTGAATGTTTAATGACAAATAATTTTTAATATTTAAATGCAGAGGAATTGAGGATTTGAGATCAATTAAAACAAAAAAGTTAAGATAAAACCAGAGAATATGATTCCTTTCTTTTAACTCGCATTAACTATATGGTCTAAGAGACCATAAAGCTTCCTTCTCTCTCTTTCTTTTGCCTTTACTTTCTTTTTCTTGAACAGAGCTCCCCTTCCCTTTGGTATTTAAACCCTTCCTATGATCACTGCCTCCCTCTTTGTCTCTTTCATAAAGGCTTCCACTGATTAATATGTAAAAAGAAAAAAAGTTGGCAAAGCAAAACATTATACTTGTGGGGTCTTAAGGAACTATATATAAATCAACATTTTTTTGACAAAGCTCAAATCTTTCATGCTTGAACAATTTTCCTTCTTCTTTGTTTCTCATGTTAGAGTAAGAAACTTAAGCAATGGTGAGGAAATGGGTTGTTTTTACTCTCATTTTTTTGGTTCTCTTCAATGGGTTTTCTTCAGTTTCTGCCACCCCACCTGCAAGTAAGTTAGAAAAAGAAAAAGCTTTCACCATTTTTCTTCTTGTTTTTTTACTTGTTTTTGTTTTACATTTTTGTTTAAATTTTGCTTTGCATTTTGATGTTTTGCAGAAATTGTAACTTCAGTTGTCTCAAATGTGGTGTCTGCTCTTGTTAAGTGGCTATGGTCACTAAAATCAGCACCCAAAACCGGTAACTTTACTTCAAAGTTTCAATCTTTTTCCTATTTTTCTCTGTTCTTGGTTTTCTAGTCTCTTTGTATGGAGACTAAAGATTGGTTTTTTGCGCTAATGGCATTATTGAGATTTGCTTTTTCAGCTGTTTCTAGCCGTTCCATGATGAAATTTGAAAGTGGATATACTGTGGAAACAGTATTTGATGGAAGCAAGCTTGGGATTGAGCCATTTTCTGTTGAAGTTTCCCCAAGTGAAGAGCTCTTGGTGTTGGATTCTGAAAACAGTAACATTTACAAGATCTCAATGCCATTGTCTAGATGTAAGTTAATTTTGAAGAAAGTTTTTATTTTTATTTTTATTTCCAGGGTTTAAGATTTTTTTTCCTTTTTTTTTCTTTTGAGAGGAAGATTTTTGTTTAATAACAATGATTATTGCCAAGCCTCACTTTAAAGTTTCGACAAATTTCACTGTTGAAACTTGAAAGTTTGGCTCTTTTGATTAATTTTGTTCTAGGAGGAGGCACTTAGCTTAGTACTTTGGAACACGAACTTTTTTCTTTCTTTCTTCTATTTAAGTTGTTGGTGGATTCTTAACACATTACTTAAACAAGGTTGTGAAGTTTGATGTTCTTTTGTTTAGGAGAAGAAACTACTTTTAAAAGGACAGCTAGACCTTTTAGTGCTGTTTGCTGCTGACCCAGTTACATCTTTGTGAAGATTTAGTCTTTTTTCTTTTTCTTTTTTATTCAAAGCCAACATTCTCTATTCAATACTTAGACTTGTAATACACTCATGTTCCTGTCCTTTATCTTTCTAATACATGATCTGAGCTTGTGTCTGTGTACTTTCACTTTTTTGAAACCTCTATATTTGACTAACTTGTGGACACCTTTGGGCTTCTTTATGAAGCTTATACCTTTGTTAATTTGAATAGTGAATGGTCGAAGTTCACTTTGCAGTTCTAATTTTTTGAATTTATAGAAGATGGAAAACTAATGAGACTTTACATTGTGTTCTTAGACAGTGAAATGCCTGGATTCACTTTCCTTATTTGATTTTCTTCTACCTCATCTTGTTCATTTTCTTGGTGCTCAGTTGAATATTCTCCATACAATCTATCATTCTTTCATTTGCTGACATGGATGAATAACTGCAGACAGCAGACCTAAGTTGGTTGCTGGATCATCCGAAGGGTACTCTGGGCATGTAGATGGGAAACCAAGAGAAGCTAGAATGAATCGTCCAAAGGGGCTTACTGTGGATGACAGTGGAAATGTGTACATTGCAGACACAATGAATATGGCTATCAGGAAGATCAGTGAATCAGGTGATTCGGGCAATGTTCAAGGCATTTCTGATAATTAAAGAATGGACTTTCCTTTTTAGCAGTCTTATAGGCCATTGTGGTTAGATAAGACTAAGAAAATTCACCACTAAGCCACCATCCTCACACAGCTACCTTGCTAAAAGTTTTGTAGGTCCAAGTTCCTTGAAAAGCATTTGCTATTCCAGCAAACTCTTAGCTGAAATCATTTTATATCTTTATGCAGGGGTTACAACTATTGCTGGAGGAGGAAAATGGAGCCGAGGAGGAGGCCATGTCGATGGTCCAAGCGAAGATGCAAAATTTTCAAATGATTTTGATGTGGTCTATGTTGGAAGTAGCTGCTCTCTTTTAGTTATAGATAGAGGAAACCAGGCAATTCGCGAGATTCAACTCAATGATGATGATTGTTCGTATCAGTATGATGGCAGTTTTCGTCTAGGTACCACTCTTTTGAATTTTTATTGATACCATTTTCTTTCAGGATCATGAAAATCTTTAATAAGACATGAGTCCATCATTGTAGGTATAGCAGTGCTTGTTGCTGCTGGCTTCTTTGGTTACATGCTGGCCTTGCTGCAGCGTAGGGTACAAGCAATGTTCTCTTCCCATGATGTAAGTGACCTGATGTTTTATATTTTTCTTCTGTTTCCAATCATTTTTTGCTTTTATTATCAGAGAGTTTCCCATCCATCAATCTTCAAAACATATTATATTATACCTTATGTAATGCTTTTCAATTTAGCTAATCGCTTGGCAATTGGATGGATGATTCATTGTAATTGATTTTCTCTGGATGATGTAATTTCAGTATCCTTATGAATGTTATGGAATCGATCTGATACATACGTATTATCATAAAGTTCCAACTTTCTGAATTGTACACGATATAACCAAGCAAGTTCCCATCTTCTTAGGACTCAAGAACTCCAATAAAGAGAGCAGCAACTATGGCACCATATCGGAGGCCTACTAAATCAGTCAGGCCTCCATTAATTCCTCCTGAAGATGAACCTAAAAGAGCAGAAGAGGGCTTCTTTGGATCAATTGGTAGGCTCGTCGTCAACACTGGCTCATCTGTGGCAGAAATCTGTGGGGGACTATTTTCTGGCTTCCGAAGGAAGCCTCGCCACTATCAGTTTCAACATCAGTACCAGCAATCAACTCTGCATTCGAGAGGATGGCCTATGCAGGAGAGCTTTGTGATTCCTGATGAAGATGAGCCACCTCCCTTAGATACTAGAACTCCAACACCCAAGAGAAGTTACCCATTTATGACCAAGGACCTTGAGAGAAAACACCAGATCAAGCAAAGCAGGCCTCACTATAATGGATGGGATGCTAACTATCAGCGCCATCAAGAGGAGCAAATGCAGATGCAGCACCATCAAGAGCAGCAGCAGCAGCAGCATCCGCATAAGCATTATTCATCCAACCCGCAAACTTATTATGAGAAGAACTGTGAGACAAATGAGATTGTTTTCGGGGCAGTTCAAGAACAAGATGGAAGGCGCGAAGCTGTGGTGATAAAGGCTGTAGACTATGGAGATCCTATTTATAACCACCACAATCTGCGACCTCGTTTGAATTATATGGGTTACTCGCATGGCTATTGACCATTTCCTAGAGCTTCTTAATCAAATGATAGCAAACAAAAATCTTTCGAGTTCATATATATGCTATGAACACGGGGATGTAGGACTGTGGATGATGAAAGTTTTACAGTTTTCATTTGATTTTCCTTTCTTAGGAGATATGGTAGTTTCCAAGTTTGTTCCTCATAAATGGTTGTAATATGTCTTCTGTTTGACCTAGAAATCAAGAGAATCAAGTTACTGCAGTAGCACTTGGACATCTTATTGTCAATCTGGATGCTATACAAAATATTGAAAAGCAAAACCAGACACGATTCAAATTCTATAGATGGGATGAACAGCTAGCTGATTTATATATGCGTGACACGATTCTCTTCAATAATAGGGTATTGCCACTGGATAAAGGTATGTGCATTTCGTTCCTCCAGCTTTAGCTGCAGTAAAATCTCAGAATATATGCAAGCCTGCCAAGGTGTTGCAAGCAGATTGGTCTCATTTACGAATGCACCAAATTAAATGTATCTTATCCATTCCACCCATTTCTTTGACTTTCAATAAAAGTACTAATATCATTGCCCGGCTGGTGATCACTGGGATTAAACAAAGTGGCACGTTCACCAAGGGAAGCAATGATATGCTAAAGATACAATTTTTTTCCTTTTCAGGTTTTTGGTGCTTGAGATGAGCTGCTTGATTGACAATACAAGAGATGAGGACTAATAAAAAAAAGTGAACGTGATGGAATTTAAAATTTTGGTAAATATTATATATAAATTTAATAAAAATTTTAAAAATATATTATATATATTTTACCTTAATATGAATTATGATATATTAATAAATGATATTTCTCTTGAGCCAAAAAAGTATGATTGAATCATACCTATAAAATTAAAAAAAAAAAAAGGTATAAATAGGAATGTCTATATTCTTTTTGTATGTTTCACATGGATTTGATATTTCCTTATGAGTATTACAATTAGAATGGTCAAGCCATGGAGTTTATTTTCAACCATTACACATTGCAACTCCTAATATTAAACTTTAACACACCATAGACTATATTATCAATGCCCTTCTCCTCCATGACTTGGTCCGGAAGAATCCTTGATTCCCAAAAGATCGAGAACTTCGAAAATTTCATTGATTTGAAATCTCCGTCCTTGTTGGCTAGGGCTGCCGGGTTTCATAATGGCACGACGGAGATGATTTGGAGTAAACATTCGAGCTTCTAGAGTAGAAACTAGTAACGTGAAGCTCAAGAAAACGATTAGGAGAACGAAAGGGTGGGTTAAGTTGAGTTTCATGGCCATGAATGGAGGATATTCAAAGGGTTAAACAAAGTAATTTTATGTTCTTTGTGCTTGAGGGTGAGTATAGCCAGTTTGCATGAGTGTGGTTTATATAGGAAAAGATGATAAGCTTGGTTTGACTAGGAATAGTGGGAAAATGTTTGCTAAGTTCAAAGATGTATGTGAAATGTGCTGATGCTAAGGAAGCAGGAAAGGAAACTCATTTGGGGAAGGTTGAATACTTTTTTGAGATGGAAATTTGCAGGGTCAACTTTTACAACATTTTCCAGGAAAATTAGATTACACGATTTCATAGAATTTGAAAATAAGATTCTAGTCTAATTTTTTTTTTAGTGTACCAATTGACCAATTTATGTAGACTTTCCACGTATGTCTAATGACCAATCATCTGAATTACTCGACTTCAAGAACCATGGACTTAAAAAATCAATGTGCAACCCAAATCAAATTTGAAATCCAAAGCATTTTGATTTGAATCTATATTTGTTTTATATAACATAACAATATTTGAAAATTTCTATGAAACACATTTAAGATTTCATTTTAAAAGTTTAAAATTATGATCTTAAAATAAAAGGATTAGAGATGTAAATAATAAATTAGTGTTTGCAAGTTATTCAAACTCGATTAAAATTAAATTCAAATTCAGCTCGATCATTATTAAGTTAAGTTCGAATTTAAGCAATTTAATTCATTGAGCAAGTCAAGTTTGAGCTTCTTAATATTCGATTTGAGTAGTTCTCAAATTTAATCGAAATTTTATATTTTAATATATATATTTTATTATTTTAATTATAAAATTATTATTTTATCATTATATATATAAATACACATGAATTTGAATTTGAATTCGAATATAAATAATCAAATTTGAAGTTGAACATGAGAATTAAGTTTTTTTTATTTGATAAATAAATCTAATCAAATGAACTCAATAATTTGATTTTTATCTCAAATCAAGTTTGAATTTAAATTTTAAAACTTAATCAAATTCGAACAAAATTTTTATTTAAATTTAAATTCAAATATTTCATTATATCGACTCGTTCAACTTAGTTACAGTGCTTAAAAGGATGTGATCCATATGACAAACATGGTGGACATAACAAACTGCCAATCACTTTTGTAAAGATGGGATTCATATGACATGGTGGGCATAACAAAGTGCCAGTCACGTTTTTAAAAGGCTTTGGCGTGACACATGAAAGATATTAATTTTCAAATTAATTAGGTAAACTTCATTTTATTGTTTCTATCAAAAGAAAAAAAAAAAAAGGTAGAATTTATTCAGCTTATGTTTTACGTTTAGTACTTTGGTATTCATTGTCAAAATTTTTGCTTTCAATGACACATTTAAAATGAATATTATAATAAAAAATTGCCCTTTTTCTTAATTTGTTAACCAAATTTATTTATTGGTCAATATGTTTTACAAGGACTTGATATTTCCTCCATGACCCTTTAGGCCAAGTCAATGAATTTATTTTGAACCATTACGTACACATTACAACAACTTCCAATTATCTTGAGCCTTAATTATATTAATAATAACATTTTGATTGCATCATCGACGGCTAAATATCAATGCCATTCTCCTTCTTGCCTTGACCAAAAAAATTAAAAATTTCAAAAACTTCACCGTCAAGTTGAAGTCATGTTTATTCTTTTTAGAGCTATCATGTAAAAATTTATATTTAATTTATAAGATATTATTTATTTTAATTTAAAAATTTTACGATTTTATCTTATAAAAAATATATTATAAATTTAAATTTAAATTTATATATATATATATCATATCATATCAATATATTTTTTTAATGTGAGATTTGGGACATTACAATTTTTTTATCGTTAAAGTTTGATATTATTGTTAAGTTAAATCTAACCACAAAATTAAAATTATACCAGACGTTAGAATTCTAGAAGTAACTCTTACCGTGTAATCACTTAGTGACTCTCCCTACTTGACTGTGTAACACTAAATATTTAATGACTCTAACGATCTTATTGTATAACACTTAATTTTTATCTATTGATGATTATTTTGATAGTATTTGTAAAGATTCGTACTTAATCTGAGAATATTATCTGCTTTGATCAAAATTTTCATGATTTTATCTCACAAAAAATGTATCATAAATTTAAATTTAAATATTTATATATATAATATATTATACTCATATATTCTTTTAATACGAGATCAAAAACGTTACGTAAAGTATACAATGTTATCACGGTTGAGAAGCTTCAGGCTCAACAGTGAGCGACCGGTGTAAAAACCAACAACATGAAGCTCGAGAACATAATGACTAGTAGAAAGAAATGGAGGGTTTTGAGTTACATGGCCATGATAATCTAGTTTAAAATCATGTGTATGATTTATATAGGAAAAAATATAAGCATTTTTTTATTAGGAATAGTGGGAAAAATGTTGGTTGGTTCAGATAAAGAATTATGCTAATGCATTTTTTTTTTTTTTTGGGTTTGGCCTGACGAATCATGCTAATGCTTAGCAAATATGATAGCATTATTTTTCAAAATTAGGGAGGGTCAATCTCGAGAAGGAATTATGGAATTGGGCAACTAATTTTTGAAATGCAGATTTCAATCTAGAATGTTTATAGTTTTTCAATTGACCCATCAGCTGTTGAGTTACTTTTAGTGAGAGAGTATCCATGGATATTTTTAAAATAAAATAATAACAACATTTTAATAAAATTATATATACATATATATAAATATATATTATAAATGAAACTCATATACCTTGATTGAAAAATCTAACACATTGAGTTCAATTTCTAATCCAAATTAGGTATATTATACATAATAAATTTGATAGATCATTAATTATGTGATCTGTTGATAAAATATTAAATTCGTAATTTTAGTTATTAGAATTTAATTTTGGCAATATGAAATATAAAAAAAAAAATTGATTTTTAACATCTAAAAATTTTAAAATATATGTAATTAAATTAAGAATAATTATAAAGTATAATTATTTATTTTTGGAAGTTTTAGCCATTAGTTTTGTGAAGTTAAAAAGAATTTCTAAAATATAAATATATTAATTCATGAATTTGTTAAAATTTAGCATGGAAAATTGGAAACCCAATGTGATTTCAATCATCAAGGGCCTAGTTCAAGTGGGCTCACTTTGGGCTTTTGCCAGTTTGAACTTTAACAAGGAAAGCCCAAGTCAAGCCCATAAACTTGAATTTTTATTATTAAACTAAAAATGTAATATTTTAACTGTATTTCAAAATTAAATTCATATTTTACCTAATATTTAAAAATTAAATTTTAATATAAATAAAATTTATTTATTTAATAAAATAAAAAATTCTAATAAGACAAGTTCTAAAAACAATTTAAAAATCTAATCATATTTCTTTTTATTAAAAAACGTTTTAGATTAATAAATCCACTAAAAAAGTGTAAAAAATTTTCACCAATTTATTAAATTTAATGTAAATATTTTTAATTAAACCAATAAAATAATATATTTAATAAAATCTAAAAATCTCTTTCTCCTTTAAAAAAAACCTTACCAAAAGCTTTAACTAGGGATATAATCGAATTGAATCAAGTTGATACAATAAAAAATTTAAACTCGAATTCAATTTGAAATTTATTGTTTGAAACTCTACTTGAGCTTAATTAAAATTTAAATTTTAAACTCAAATTCGACTAAAGATAAAAATTAAATTACTTAAATTCGCTTAATTCAACTCGTTTATTAAATAAAAAAATAGGTTTAATTCTTATATTCAATTTAAAACTCAATTTCAAGCTCAATTAATTATATTAAAATTTAAATTCGAGTTTGAATTTATATATATATATATAAGTAAAATAATAAATTTTTAATTAAAATAATAAAATAAAATTTTAATTAGGTTTATGAGTTATTTAAATAGAATATTAAAAAATTCAAATTTGATTTACTTAAAAAATTGAATTGCTCAAATTCGAGTGTCAGTTAATAATAATCAAATTGAATTTAAGTTTTATTTAAATTGAACTCAAATAATTTATAAACACTAATTTATCATTCTTGTTCCTAGCTTTAACTTATTAAAAAAATTAATATTTTATGAATTTATTAAATTTATATAAACAAAATTGATTAAATGGATTTTTGAAAAATATATAATTAACAAAATCTAAAGATCTCTTACAGCTGAAAAACCGTATCCAAAGCTTATCCCCACAAAAAAAAAAAAAAAAAACTGTATGTAAAGCTTCATGAGCTGTCATTATTAGTTGGTAAGCTGTTACAACAACCTCATTTCCCGCTGTTTCAGTTAAAATTAAATAAATTTAAAAAAATCTTTTTTTTTTTAATGGAAAAAGAGACAAAGTATCTCTTTCTCCTGAGAGAAAATTCTTAATTTCTTTTCATTTCTCGAGAAAGCGAGAGAAAGTGAGAGAACAATTCAATCACTTTCTCTGCTTTTCTCGTTAATCTTAACAGGGATTTCCTGGTCGTTTCTTCACTTCCTCAAAAAATGCCGCCACTGCATATGGTGGAGGAGGAAACGGCTGGCGTCGACGACGACATCCACGATCTCAAGTTCTCGAATGGAGGCTGTTGTTTTTGGATGCCTTGTGGTTCCGCCATCAGATCAATCTGGTGGCAACGGATAGCCACCGACGACACCAACTCCGTCGCCTCAGCGAATGTGAGTCACAAAGAGCAGTGGTGGACTCGAGGGTGGAAGAAGGTTCGAGAATGGTCGGAGTTGGTGGCTGGACCGAAATGGAAGACGTTTATAAGACGGTTCAACAAGAACAAAAACGGTAACGGAGGAGCGAAATTCCATTACGATCCTTTGAGTTACTCCCTTAATTTCGACGACGGACCGGGGCGAAACGGTTATTTCGATGAGGATTTGTTCAATAGAAACTTCTCTTCCAGGTACGCCTCTTTGCCTGTCTCCACCAAATCCTCCATGGATTTCGGCAAAGACGGGCCCTGTTTCACCTGACCATCACGTGATTTACTTACGTCATTGGCTTTTAATTCACGTGACTTTCACGTGCACAGAAAAAGTGGTCGGCTCCCTCAGGGCCCAGGGGCGTACGTTAAGGTTAAATTTTTTTAATTAATATTTGTTTTTTTTTTTTGCCAAAAAGAATAATATTTGTTAGATGATGAGAAAGAAAGAAGGGAATTTGTAAATGTAAAAAGGGGTTGTTTTTGTATTTGGGAAATATAGAGAATTATATAACAATTAAATTATATCTTTGATGTACTGTCATTTACCATTTTATCAAAATTAAAAGTTCAAAAATCCCATTTTTTGTCTTTATTTATATTTATGAAATTCGTGTTTTTCAATGGTTGAAAACTTTGGTTTTGGGTCACATATTAGGATGAAAATGGATGTTAACTTTTTGCTTGTTTGATATTGACATTTGATATTTCATGGTGTATTACGGATTATTGGATGTTGGCATGAATGGCCATGGTTGTAACTTGGATTGAATGTCTTACTTTGTTTTCAAGGTTTGTCAATTTGCTGTCCTTCTAACATTGTTGTTTAAGGCCATTCATGGCATTTCAGATTGAGAAAAGAAAATGTCATTCATGAAACGTCATTTCTAGTGTTTGTTTTGATAAGACCATGAAGATAATGGTGATTGCTAGAAAGTCATTTTCATGGTAAACCATTCATATAACACCATACATTAGATAAAGATACTAAATGTAAATGGTCAAATCATGTTATTTTTTATATTTGAAATCGAAGTCATTAAAATTTTAGCATTTGAGAATGCATTCTTAACATAGTAGAAAATTAGGCTCCAATTCCAATTGGGATTTCTTCCTGTTTTTCAGTATTGACAAAGCTTGCAACTAAAATGCATGGGCTCCTGCTTTCTCCTTGTACTTGCTGCTGTTGTGCATAAAGAGAACATCAAAGGAACTTTTTAACAGGAAAGAACTGCTTATGAGTGTACAAAATACTCGATTGTGGTGGATCCACTATTACAAATTATTCTCCCTTTTCATCGTTTTCTCATCCCAATGGCAAAGCCTGTCTGCATTCCACATTTTCCTGTTTTAATTTTCTTACCCTGTTCTTGTATAATCTTCCACTGGTAGTTGTCAAATCACTACTAATTCTCATGGACTATTTTTGCCACAGGATTTTAACACATTCTCAACCCCTTCCTGTTGCAGACAATATGATCAACTTCTGAACTAGATCATGCTGCAGATACACCATTATTGTGTTGAATAATCTAATATGTTTATTACTAGATAGAGCTAAATGATCCTTTTGCCTGGAAAAACAGGGATGGTAAAATTCTAGGGTTGGGTCAACTTCACATTTTAGTTTTTGGTTTTTACCCAAAAGTTGAAAGTGGATTGGGCTTAGCCCTTTCCTATACCAGCCCTTTAGGTTCATACAAGAGACAAAAGTACCTCATTCTTGTCATATGATAGCATCACAGGATTCTAACATGCAGGATTATGGAGCCCACCAATGGAAGTACTTTAATCAATCTCCATTGGTTGGTGACAGTGTGCTCTGCTTTTCTTATATATATATATATATATATATTTGGGATGACACTATCATTTCTAAACAGTCTTTGTTGGACACTTCCTAACAAGTGGGGCCGAAGATCAATTTCACATAGGTATCTTTCTTGCGAAATATTTCACATAGGCATCTCTCTTGCAAAATACTACTTGCATTACATCACAATTCAGTCTCAACCACCACCCACCAGAGTCCGCATATTGTACAACATATCTAAACAAGAAATACCCTAAAAATTTATATAAATAAACATTAAACAATGTTTAAAAGGAGATGATAATATAGTGATTTTGATCATAGAATCCATCCAGGATCACTTTGATAACATCCCTTCATGGTTTCATATTAGTATTTGTTTGTTTGTTTCTTCCTTCTTCTTATCTATTTTTCCTCTTTCTGCTCACTTTTGACTTATTTTTATATCCAAGTGTAAACAAATCCTCAATCTTGCTGCATTTTGACTGATAAATAATGCACTTGATAGGCTTGGCTTTTAGATTTAATGCAGGGGTTTTGATTTCAACAAGGCCACATGGGTGGAGCAAAAAAGTTGACCCCACAGTTTAGCTGCCTGCTACAGCCAAGATTTTTGAATTAAAGGGCTGATCAGTGATCACAAGATAGAGACATTTTTTTTTTCTGTCACACTGCTTTCATGGATCCCACCATCATTTCCCAATTGCCCACTCCCATAGCCAAAGATCACTCTCTACACAACAGATTGAGTGCACATTATCCTAAAAGGGTTGATATATTTTAAAAGGAAAAGGAAAAGTGTAAGAGGAAAAAACCCCAGCATATCAAAAGCCAAGAAAAGCAAAAGCACTAGACTCTTGCCTTAGATCATGTTTATACATTAAAAAAGCATAAATTTCCTATCCAGGGCAAAAAATTCACAATAACATTGGATGCAAATTTTGCATCCTGAAGTAGAGTTATGATTTTCAGAAGTTATGAGACATCATCCTTGCTTGAAAGTTGCAACTACTCAAATTAGAATTCAATGTTTGACTTCAACTAACACACACTCAAGGTCAACAATGAAAATGGCATGATTTTAAAGCTCAGAACTTCCGAAAGGTAAAATCAGTACCATTTCAACCTTAATCATACAATTTTACTAGACCATCCGTAACCATATCCATGACAAATTGAACTGTGGATTAACCACAAAATCATGACATGCGAAAAATAAATTATTACTGCTGATTCTGTTAGCGAGGCAAAATTAAGTGCCTATGGCGGTGTAGTTGTTGATAGATGCTGTGCTCTTAGTTTCAATGATCCGGAACCAATCCATGGCAAGCTCAAGTACCAAAAACAAATGTCAAAATTAAGTAACAATTAAACATGATCACAATGGAGTTCTAGCTAAATACTCAAATTGCTCAGAGCAGCAACATTCATTTCTAGTCATGCACCATATAGACAATGCAAACCCTTGGAATGAGATAAGAAGGTGATTCGATGAACCAAATGGGCCAGAATTTTCAAAGGCACGGAACATATTGCATGAATATATTTCTTTACAGAAATAAGACATCATGAGTTCAGTAGCATAAGTAAAACACGAAGAAAAACTGTCAACAGAAATATCTAATCACCCAACAACAAGAGATTACCTACATGAATTCTATTCTCTCAATTCCATTCAAGTTGTATTTTTACTTTCAGGATTCGGAACAAAAATATGTCACAGCCAACCATCAGAATTTCTGAATTAGCATCTCAAAAATTTTTCAAAAAAGAGGAGCTAAGCAAATGCATAACAAGCTTTGATCAATTGAATAATGGCTACATCCAGAAACTACCAACGAAATTATCTTTCATTTTGCTTGCGTTTTCTCCAACCATGGCAAGTCTGTATTAAGAGAAGAAGAAGGCATACCAATTTGGGCATCTGAAGAACTGGAAAATTTGCCTTTCTTAGACCAAAGCCAGATCTTGGAAACAGAAAAGCTCTCCCCTTTAGTCACACTACTAATCTTTTTCCCTTCAGCATCCCCTTCAACTGAAGAATTCCCATTCTGTTCCAAGCCTTGTGATAACTTGATATCTCGGCCACCGTGTCGATCATTGGTCAGGGCAACTCTAAGATCTGAATCACCTAGCACATACTGATATGAACCCATAGAAAAGCACCTTCTGGCATCTAAATTGCTACTACTAGTTTCTCCTCCTGCATATCCTGGTCCATCATTTAGCCTTTTGAATTTACCCAGCCTTACAGGCAAAACCCCTTTGTCAACAACAATTTCTTCCATTTCCACAGTTTTCTGACCAGGAGTATATCCATTTCCCCCATTACCAGCATATCCATCATCTTCCCTTATGTCATCAAAATCATAAATTGGATTCTCCATTGAAAACCCGGGAGTAAAAAGTGTCCCTCTACAAAGAGGGCATGTCGAGTTTGACAACAGCCAAGTGTCAATACAATTTATATGAAAAGCATGGCTACACATAGGAAGCAATCTCAGCTTATCTTTCTCAGAAAATTCACATAAACAAACAGCACAGTCAAAAGGCTCTTTCAGACCAACTATTTCTCTGTACTGGAAAACAGGTAAAGCATCAATAAAAGCTTGATCTAAACCAGAATCATGGAGATGAAACAGTTGTTGTAGCTGCCTTTGAAGAGCATCAGAGGTAGACATTTCAGGATATCTATTAGATTGAGAAGATGCAGATGAAGATGGATGCTTTATGAGGAATCTAACAAGTAGATGTAGAAGACCAGAGATGAAAAATAGTACAGCCAAGATTACTATAATGAAAAGAACAGCAGGACTAATTCTAGTACCAGAAGATGAAGATGATGATGGTGGAGAAGGGTTTGAATCTTTATGAAAAGTAGTAGCAGCATATGGAGATGGAGGAAGAGGAGGTGGATATTGAAAGTACCCATCTTTTTGCTTGATGTGATGATGATGATGATGAACCCAAGACATCTTCAACTGGTTATACTCCAAAAACCAACTCTTTTCTTTGCTTTCTAACATCCCACAGATCATATAGCGGCACTTCAGAAAAATACTCCGAAACCCCAAAACAGCCAAAAATAACTCAAATCCAACTCATGTTTCAACCTAAAAACAATGCTCAATACAAAACCTTTCCTTTTCAGTATACAAAACACCATATACTCCACAAGTTTCCATTTCCTTCTTTTCTCTAATATCCTCCAAAATCTTTTTTTTTTAACACTTCATGAAATGATATCAAAAAGAAAAGAAATTACCAATTAAAGTTTGAGTCTTTGAAACTTACCGAAGTTTATAGTATCAAAAAGAAAAGAAAAAGCCTTAAAACCAATGTCAAAAAAACACTTGGGTTTTTGGTTTTTTTTTTTTTCTTTTTTTTCTTTTCCTGTCTCTTTCAAAAGTGACTCTCTCCTTCCCTTCTAGTTTCTGGTGGAACAGAAAAAGCCAGGAGATTGTTAGGACAGCAGCAGTAGTTTTCAAAGTGCGAGGCTAAAGGATGCCAAAAAGAAGCACTACAATTTGGCCCCACTTTCCAATGTGAGCGCGTGGGTTTGAAATGGTCAACCACAAACAGACAATTTGATGCTGTCTTATTCGTGTTTGGGCTTTTTTGACGGGTTGGGCTAAAATGTTTAGATTGTCTATAGCCCTGTGGATTTTGATTAAGATTTTTTTACTTTCATTTATGAATTAGGGTTATAGGGATGGAAATTTATTTTCTTGTTTGAAAAAAGGTTTGGAAGTATTGTTTTATTTTTAAAGTTATGATAAATTGTCAGGGGATTTATGAATTTTTTTCAAATTTTTTTGAATTTATAGATCATTTATTAATAAAAAATTATAGAGATTCAAACTAAATATATTATATTTAAATAATAAATTTTAATCACTTACATCAATCGCTATTAATAAAATTGAAAATTATAGTTAAATAAATGTGTCCCTTATTAATAACTTGAAAATGATTTATCTATGGGTTATGATTTAAGTAATAATAGAAAATATTTTTTTTTGTTTGAGTTTAAATTTGTTAAGCATACGAGGAGATATTTTTATAAATTATTTAAATTTAATATAAATAAATTTAAATGAATTGATTTGAAAAAAATATACCAAATAAATTTTAAAGTTTTTTTATTGTTTATCAAAATTTAACTTTGATTTATTACATTTAATAAAAATAAATTTTTATTGATGAAAATAAATACTAAAATATTGTAACTTTTTTTTTAAATTGATAATTTAAAATATGATACAATAATACGATATGAATAAAATATATAGAGATAACATAATTTAAAATTTTAAAAAATTATAAATAAATTTAATAAAAAAATTATATTTTCATATTAACACGATTTATAATAGTAATTTTTTTATAAAATATAATATAAATATAATATTTTATATAATATAATAATATAAATTATTAAATATATATTTTTTAATGATAAAAATATAATTAATCATTAATTATCATCCCCTTTCATGTCAAATCTTCTTGTTTGTGGTTGAAAATTTAAGAGCAAAATATCAAAGATTGAGGCTTAAAAGTACTGAAAAAATTTATAAACATTAATAATCATTAAATATAGTGTACTAACATTAAGACTTTTTTGGTCACACATTAATGGCAGGCCTCCTTATAAGATTATACAAGATAACTTGCATTAGGATGTTGATTTTCATGTAGATATTTTTTTTAATAAAAAAAATTATATTTCAAAAATTAAAAAAATTATAAATATTAAAATTTAAACTACAATCTTATTAAATGTGAGTATAAGATAAAAAGCATAACTATTTGGGAAAAATGAGATTAAAAATCCATACCAAAAGTAAATATAATAAAAATCCAACCTAATTCCTATTATTACGCAATCAATGCTTGAGCAGTCTCCATCAACCACCCATTCAAGCAAAGATTAAGTATTGCACAAGACAAGAACATGAAAACACACTTCATTCAATGATCTAGTTACAATATTATTACAATCCTATTTTAAGCTAAATTTTAGGTTCCTGTTGCACTCACTATACAGTTCATTTGTCACATATCTTGAATGTTTTTGGTCTTACTTTAATCTATATGTAACATGTTACCTTGGGTTTGCCTTTGAAGAATGGGAGATGTGAAAGCTCCTTGAATCTTTATCTTAATATTAAAGGTAAATTAGGTGAAGGATTTGGATGACAATCAGGCATTAGTTGGATGTTTTAAGAAAGACAATAAAAACAATATATATAATTAAGGAAGGGACAGATAACTGTTAGGTGATGAGGGTTGAGTTCTTTAGTTGGGCACTCCATATAATTTATGGTGTCTTTTTGCCTTTAATTATTTCAATTTGTAAAACATGATTTGGTTGAGGAATGATGATGAGGGGTGATGATCTGTTAGACTTCTATAAATTTTTCTTGGTAAAAAGGACGTTTCAGCTTGATAATAAGAAAAATGGTTACAAAGATTAAAATTTAAATCCGCCCTTATTAGATGTTACCTTTTAAAAATTATTATATGAATTAATTAAATTAAAATACAAGTTCAAAGAATTTTATAGATCTAGTGAGCAAAAGTCTGTCATCAGAAGCTAATAGTATTTGACAAATGTTTATGAGAAGCATTTGATTTCTTGTTTTCAATGATTATCAACCCATGTATCAAGTGTTGGAAAAAGACTGATCTAAGTGACAGAACCTTCTTTCTTTTTTTTTTTTAAATGGTTTTATAACCTTTGAATTAAAAAATGTTTTTTTTTTTTTTTTTTAAGTTTGCGTTAAGAGCTTGATATGAAATGCCACCCCTTGAATTTAATTTTGAATTAGTAATATCTTCCTTAGATTCTGTCAACTCTAAAACTGAAGCATAACCTGGCAGTAATCACCCAAAATCTGTTTGAACTTATAAAAAAATATTACTCTTACTGGTTCCAATTCTTAAATATTGGATATTATTCAGCTTTTTTGCATAATATACTGAAGGATAGATTCTCTCTGTTGACTCCCTGAATTGAAAGTGACATCCTACATTTCATGAGAATCATTGTATCTGTTCATTCTGCAGAAAAATGTCTCGGATTCCATAATTCTTTGGCTTGACTAGCAGAGCACTTAAAATTTCTGAATACAACCAAATGAGTACCCAAACCCATGATTATGTTCACTAGTTGTGTGGCACTCCCTCTAGTGGCAATTGGGTGCTTAGACCTTGATCTTTTTAACCATGGATGGCATTCCTGATACCATTGAGTTCTTGATGGAATTTTCACCTCACACTGACTTTGAGCTAACATGTTTGTTCAACATCAATAGAAATTTAATGCCCCATCAAGCAGTGGATGCCGACATGCCAACACCCAAGGGACACTAAAATGGTATAGTTGCCTGCCAGATCCCATGTTGATGGAAAATGGTCACTTTGGCTGGTAGGGGTATGATTGCATAGAATCGATGTAGAACATCTTGAAATCTATAATTTTTAACAACTTTTTAATCAACAATGCATAGGCCAGTGGCATGTTTGATGTTATTCTGATCTTATAAACCAAGAACTTCAATAGAATATCCCATCATTCTGTGGTAAAAGTAGTTTTGAAGATTCTAATAATTAACTTCTAAGACATGGGAGTGAAGGCAGGGGGTACTGCTCATTTATTGAGTTAAAAGAACATATATTATCTGCAAAATCAAATTTTACTAAATGCTGGACTAACTGTAATGAAAGATTTGAAAGAAAACATATGGATCTGGAAATTTCATTTACGGTCTTCGCATGAATCTTCGTCTGATTAATGGAGGAAAGCAGTTTGTAGATTATGGTTCCTGGAATAGGACTAGTGATTTATCTTCTTCCTCCTTTATGGTGTTGATCATGGCAACAACTTGGTTAATGCTTGGCCTGGCCTCAGGAGAGTGGTTAACACATTTTATAGCCACCTGCAGCAGATTCAGCATCCTCTCTTCACTTGCACCTTCTGAAATTAGAGACTTGTCGAAAACTTCTACAGTCCATTCTTCGCGAACCACTGAGTGAACCCATGAAGTTAAATCAACTCCATCATTCTGAACCAGTCTTCCAGTTAGTAGCTCAAGCAGAATCACACCAAAACCATATATGTCTGCATTGAAGGCATTAGATGCTCTATCCTTAGTTTGTTGCATTCCTTTGATGCCATTAACATTGGAACTTGAAGAGGATTCTTGAGGATCCACCACCATAAGACCATATTCACTTATGCAAGGTTCCATATCCCTTTTCAGCATGATGTTTGAGGATTTCAAGTTACCATGAGCAATTCCATCGCTATGAAGCTCCTCATGCATGAAGGCCAATGCCTCTGCAATTTTGGCTGCAACACCAAGTCTGCTTGCCCATTCAAAGTTTTGTCCCCTTTCGTTTCCTGAAATACACATGCAGCTCCTCACAAAAAAAAAAAAAAACATATTTTCGAAGAAAAAACATGTTCTATCAACAAATGAGGCACCAACCACAACATCTAGCCAACCATCAATACTAATGTTGGATGAAAATGAGTATGGTTACCATGGAGAAGCGTGAAGAGACTTCCATTCATCTGATATTCATAGATCAGGAGCTTCTCATGTTTTGAACAATAGAAGGCAAGAGCCGGCAAGACATTTGGATGCTTTGCTTGGTCTAGCCTTTGCATTCTCTGCTTAAAATCATCAGTTGGAATTGTCCAACCTTTAATCCTTTTCACAGCCAGCGCTGTCCCATTCTCTAATACGACTCTATAGAGGGTACCGTGCTTTCCCTTCCCAAGCAACTCAGCAGGAGCTCTAAGCAAGTCCTCAAACTGCAAGTCACTTACTGTAGGACTCGTGAGAACGACCAGTGAAGACAAGACCAATGCACTTTCAGCTGAATTGACCGAAAATTCTGATCTACTCATGTCTGTTTTATACTCGGTTGATGTAAAACTAGGCTTGTCAACAGCATCATCAACTGACGCTACCTTATTTGGACTCGGAGCTTCAACCTTCTCCCTTTTCTTCTTTTTGAACCTGCATAGAATCAAAGCTACAATAGCCAAGCCCAATGCAATATACCCTAAGAACATAAGAATCTGGTTCCTGGAGAGACCTTTTGATTTCTTTTTGGAAGGTGGACATTTCTTTTGCAATATTTCTCCACATAATTCAGGATTGCCTAGGTAGCAGCTTGGAGGAAATTTACCTTTCGTATCAGGAATAGGACCCTTGAAGAAGTTGTTGGAGACGTTGAATTGATCAAGATTGGAGAAATCAAATTCAGGGATCTCCCCTGTAAGCTGATTATTTTGAGCAAGGAACATTGTGAGACCTGAAATCCTGGACAAACCTGGCAGGTCACCAGAAAATCTATTGTTTGATATATCAAGTTGTTTCAGATTGCTTAGCATTGCAAGTGAGTCTGGAAGGTTCCCAGAGAACTGGTTCCCACCCAAGATCAAGCGAGTGAGTTGTTTGCAATTTGCAATATCAGCTTGGATCACACCACCAATGTTGTTCCGAGTAAGGTTGAGAACAATAAGAGACGCAGCAAGAGATTGTACATTGCAAAGAGCAGTCGCATTAAGAAAACCTGAAAGACTAAAATTATCAAAAACAATTTTTTTAACCAATTTGTTAGTCTTATTATCACATTGCACTCCCTTCCACTTATCCCTGCAAGGATCGGAAGATAAATTCCAACCGAAACTTGGATCAGGTTGACCATTGCTGCTAGACAATCCTTCAAGGAATTCAACCAACGAAGCCCTGGCTCCATCATCAACAGAATTTGTCACATGATTAATGAGAAACAATGAAATAGAAAGTACCCAGATGGAGACTTGTTTCATTTTGGATGCTCTTAGGTTTGAAGTTTGATACAAACAGGTTTGCAGAAGAACTTCGATAAGAGAATTCGAAGTTGAAGCTGTAGTAAATAGGAAACTGTATTTCATAGGTTGGGATTGTGGAATAAGGAGGAAATCTCTATGCTTTGATGACAGCTAGAGTTAGTAAAAAAAAAGATCCATTGTCTGAATATACAACAAGAATTTGTATTTTTATGCACTGAATTGCCGTTCTAGAGTTAAAGAATAAGCCATTCGGCTCCTAATTTTGATGATATTTTGAAATAATGGAGACGGCAGCTACAAGAAATATTGAACCTTCATGTATGTCTTTTTTCAATGGAGAATATTCATCAAGATACAGAAAGTCAGAGCTCTGACTATCTTGACCTTCTGCAATTGGTCACATGGCCCAGACCGATCTTCATCATCAATAATTCAGCAGAATATACTGTAAAAACATGTATTCAAAATCTATTTCTCAGTTCCAGCCAACTACATATGATGACAGAAGTAGATTTTTTTTTTCACTCACTTTTACACATCCGGTCAGATTGACTACATCACTTCCCTTTGATGACGATTTCAGTTTATAAAACTTGACGCATGAGACAAGGATAGAATTGAATTGAAACTGACATTTACTTGTTGCAATTTCCTGGAGATTGGTATCAATGACAATAATGGATAATTGATGATTGTTGCACATTTGGGGTAGAGATTTTTGTGTTTCCATGATAAAGCAGCCTCCCAAAAATACATTTACTTTCAGGCATGGAGAGGCTTCTAATAACAACAGGGAATTTACAAGTAATTGATCTTGTCTGGATACATATAGAAAATTTAAAGAAAACAACATAAAATTCACCACGAAACCTTGTAAAGAATGTAACATGTTTCAAATGAAAGTGACATATATTGACGTGAAATGTGAACTTAAATTTGAACTTCAACAATTATAGTGTATTTATCAGGTCAATAGGTAACAATGCATCCATCAATTGTTCTTCTACTTTATTCTTAATTTCTGTTTTTTTTTTTTTTATCCTTCTTGCAGGTGCAATTTGGTTTACTGCTTCAGCTAATAACAAACAAAAAATACGATGGCCACTCTTCTTATCTTATTATTCAATCAGTCAATAAAATAAGCTTAAGCTTGTTTATATTAATCCTAGCAAAGCTTTTTGCAATTATATATATCATTTATCATTTATATATATATATTATGTATAAAAGTGTAAACTTTAAAAGTATTAATAGTGATCGACTTAAATATCTTTATAAAATTTTAAATTAACAAAATTATCTTTAAATATATAATTTTTATTTATTTATTTAAATTTAATTTAAGTCAACTAGAATTAAAAATAGAGTCTATCAGAAATTAAACTCTTTAAAATTTTAATTTTAAAAGTGTTAAAAGTAATTGACTAAAATATCTTTAGTAATATTTTTAATTTTTAATTTAAATGAATTTTTTATCATTAAACTCTTTTTTATAATTAAACTAAAAAAGTGTTAAAAGTAATTGACTAAACTTTTAATAAAATTTTAATTTCAAAAATATTAAAAGTGATTGATTAAAATACTAGTAGTAATTTATTTATAAATTTTAATTTAAATGATTTTATTTTATTATTAAACACTTTTTTTTATAAATAGAATAATTTTTCACATCAAATGAAAATACAAATAGAACGATATAAAAATTTAATATGTATAAGAATAAACAATTATATGAATGGGAATTCTATTTACACCTCGCTTGATGTTATATACAACTTACTTCTAAATATACCCTAAATTCAAAACTTAATTTTTTACTTGTACTAAATATATCTCGTCCCTCACTTTTTATTTTTTATTCCTACATTTTCTCTCTTCTCTTTTCACTTTATGAGAGTTTTTCAAAAATAAATATTCGAGAAATTTTGAGGTTTCTCAAAAATGGATATCTAAAAAGCTTTAAGAATAAACAATTATATAAACAAGAATTCTATTTACACCTCACTTAATGTTGTATATACCCACTTCTAAATATACTATAAATTCAAAACTCAATTTTTTGTTTCTACTAAATACACCTCGTCCCTCACATTCTATTTTTCATTCCTATCTTTTCTCTCTTCTCTTTTCACTTTTTGAAATCAAGTTTCTCAAAAATGAATATCCGAAAAGTTTTGAAGCTTTTTTTAAATGAATATCCAAGAGGCTTTAAAAATTATCGGATATTCATTTCCAAGAAACTTTGAAACGTTTTTTATAATCATTTTTGAAAAGACTCAAAGGTTCTTAGATATATATTTTTGAGAAGCCTTGAGTCCTCTAAACAATGGATATTTGAAAAAATTTGAAACTTCTCGGATCTCTATTTTCGAGAAATTTGATTTCACTTTTAATCACTAAAAAATTTTAATCATGTACTTATGAACCCATTTACTTGATTATGTGTGCAAATGGAACTTAAATCGATGTTCTCAACATGCATGACATAAATTTATTATTTTTCTTGAGCCTCCAAAAAATGAAAGCACTATTTTTTGATTTTTTTATTTTGCATCGGGAAAATGGAGTTCTTGATTTTCTAGGCCTACGACAACAACATTTTATGACCATGCATGCTTGAGAATTAACATGCCTCATCCTTTCACACATATGATCAAGTTAGAAAGGGCACATCGATGACTCGTGTGTGCATATATGCTAGTTTGCATATATCTAGTAGTCAGTAAGCTGACAAATCCGACAGTAAAGATCTTTAATTTTTTTACCACCAATATCTTTCGGCTACTAGGATAATTGTGCCCTAAAGATTGGAGATTCCTATTGTAAGAATTAAGCCATACCTTGAAGAAATTATTAGAGACGTTTGGAGATCCTAGTACATTAGATCTATTTATTTTAATATTGTTTATTTTATTTAAATTAAACGTTATCAAGATTAAAATGTATTTATTTATTTTAATATTATTTATTTTAAGATTTATTATAATTTAAACAAAATTTTATGTATTTTCGAAAATAGATTTTCAAGAATACAAAATGACTATCAGAAATCAATTTTTGATAATTATATTATATTTTTGAAAATAAATTTTCAAGAGTTATATTGCGTTCTCAGTAATATAATTTCAAGAAAGTAATATAATTCTTTGAAATCCATTTTCGAGATTTACAAAGGTGGTTTCGGGGTATATAAGCTATTGAGGGTATTTTTGTTATTTATTAAAGGTTAAAATTGATATTTGCTATGTGGGTATTTTTGAAAGAAAATTTTGGAGGTGTATAGAAAAAATTTGATTGTGTATTTAAAACACCCTTTATATAAAGTTTATTTATAGTGATCGATTTAAATATCCCTATAAATTTTTAAATTAACAAATCTACCCTTAAGTATATAACTTTTATTAATTTATTTAAATTTAATTTAAATAAACTAGAATTAAAAATAAAGTTTATGAGAAATTAAACTATTTAAAATTTTAATTTTAAAAGTGTTAAAAGTGATTGACTAAAATATCCTTGATAATTTTTTAAAACTTTTAATTTAAATGAATTTTTTTATTATTAGACTCTTTTTTATAATTAGACTAAAAAAAAAGCTAAAAGTGATTTATTAAATTACCATTAGTAATTGATTTATAATTTATAATTTAAATGATTTTATTTTGTTCTTAAACTCTTTTTTTAATAAATAGAATGGTTTTTCACATCAAATAAAAATACAAATAGAATGATATAAAAGCTTAATGTGCATAAGAATAAACAATTATATGAAGTTTGTTTATTTAGTTATTGCAAAAATAATTGTATATACAATTTATGTTGATAAATGAATTCATTAAAAATAATGATAATTAAGTCATATAAGCATTTTTTTTTTGCTTTTTGCCTTTCAATTTTGTTTTAATATATTAACTATATATGTATGATAATGATGTTGTTATTTTTATGTTTTATGAGTTGATCATTTAATCATTGATAAAATAATTAAATTTTTTTAATCTCTTAAAATAATTTTTTAATATATCATTCTTACACTTTAGTATGACCTTTATAATCAATTTCTCTTATGTACTTTTTTCCTTTACAATTTTATAATTGTTATTTACATAAACAAAAACTAATATCAAATCAAATACAAATAAATTGTAACTTCTTCGCTAATAATTAGTACTATATGATTCATTGAACACTTTAATTAAATTTTTTATCAGTAAAATTAAATAATTCATGAGATGGTGAAACTAAGAATAACTCAAGATTGGGTCCTGTCAAATTACTGTAAGAATTATTTCCCTTAATTGAAATAATAATTGATTTAATTTTCTCTTAGCTTTTATCTTAATATATTTATATATGACTTACTTATATTTCAAGATTATTTAATCTTTCTCAATTATATTAAATTATTAGATTTTTTTTGTCATCTAGGGGTTTGAACTATATAACATGAATTATTTAAAAAAAAATTATCGAGTGAAGTAAAATTAATTATTTTTGGTGAATTCTTTCAAGGTGTAACAAAATTTATTAAAACTATTTTTCGAATGTGGTTATGCCAAAATTACATTCATTCATGAAATTTTATGTTGTTAATAGTAAAAATGAAGTTATTATAAATTGTATAGATATTACATAACAAGTTTATTATTCTTAGAATTGAAATATTCTTAATAAAATATGACAAGTACAAAGGTTATGAATTTATTTTATTTTATTTTTAAATTTATATATTTTAATATTTTATATAATAAAATTGATGTATAATAAATTTTTTTAAATAAAGGAAAAATCAAGCTTTTAATTGATAAAACATACAATTACATTTAATTGATGAAAGTATCGATGGAAGATTATCCTAAACAGAAAAATTAGATGAAAGATTAATTGGTTGTGCGTAATACCATCTTATTCATATGACAAAGAAAGTTATTGCTATATGATGTTCAATGAAAAATATGCAAATGTAGTGGTTTCAAATTTCTTTAAGATTAATATGAAACTCTTTTATTTGGTAAAACATTATATACTCATTCATTTTCTGCTTTGTATTAGTTTAAGAATATTCACAGCTATTTCAAAATTTTTAAAATTGCTATATTAGGTAACATTTGTTCAAAAATATTTAAAATTTATCGAATTAATTATCATTATTACATTTTATATAAAAATATTATTATAAATTATAATTTAACTAAATGTAAATGTGATTTAAAGATATTCATTACTAAAATTTATTTGATAAAATTTTATTTAATTGTGTATTTAGTATTTTAATCATTTTAAATTTTGGCTTTTCATAATTTTGAGTTGAATTTTAGACTTAAGATCAGTGACTAATTATGTTAAGTCAAGTTTTATCTATTTTACTCATAGTGTATTCAATTATTTACTTATGCAACTAAGCAAATTTGACTCAATAATTTGTACATATTTCTTTTTCTTTAAAAAGCTGGATTAAAATCGTTCTAAATCCAAATAAAAAAAAAATTCAATTACCTATAATTGCAATTTCATTTTAGAAATACTTTTAAAATTAATTAACTAATTCAATCATAAAACCAATAAAAATAAGCATTGAAGATGAAGGAAAAAAAAACTTAAATAAAGAACTTTTAAATTGTTATTAAAGATAAAGAAGAAATATTATATTTTAATTGGGTTATTATTTCAATTTGGATTTTGGTTATATTCAATCATTTCGGGTTTTAAATAATTACTAAGTTATTGACTTTAAAATAAATTGAAATTGAGTCAAGTTAGTTTATTCTTAAAATTATATGTGTTATATTATTTTTAATTAAATTAGAATTTAAAATGATTAAAAATTTATTTATACTCGATCTAAGTTTTGAATTGTTTTAAGTTTGAGTTGATTAATCTTTGTTATTATAGCTATACTTTTATGACACTAGTAATAAATTTTAAAATAGAATGAGAACACAATACAATGAAAATTTAAATATAAAAATGATGGAGATACTAATAATGATTCTAAAAGAAAATCCTTATATTAAAGTCTTACAAAGATTAAAGGATAAATCATTTTTTGAGGATTTTGAAATTCGTATTCCAAAAATGTTAATCTAGATCGATAAGCTTATAATCGTTCATTTGTTGATTATGTTGCTATTATATGGGTTGAGGAAAACAATTCAAACATTTCATTTGAAAGAGATATCATAGTATATATTCATTAAGGAAAATAGCATAGAGTTAAATATTATTTTGAGTTGTTATGACTCTCCACAATATTCTTTACTCTTTCGAAATGAAAAAGTTGATTGCTATCAAAATATTAAAAAAAATTATTTTGAATGACGGTAATAACAATAAAAGCAATAATTAAAAATATGCATCCTTTTATTTAGTAGAACAAACTTTTTATAGAAAATCGAAGGTAATTATTGTGAATTTGATATTTTTTAAAATTGTGGTCTATTTAATTTTTATAAATTTTATTTAGTAAATTTTTTTTCATATCTTCTATTACATATATAACAAAATTTTTATCCAAAATTATATACTTAAAAATAAAAACATAAGACAAAGTTTATTACTTCCATTGATGACAAAACACTTCAAAAATTTTAATCCTTTATATACAATTGTACTTTGCTAACAAATATGAAAACATATATACTAATAATTCAATAAAATCATTAATAAAATAAAACTCATCTTAATATGTACTATTTATCATTAACTAAAAAATTTGAATAATGTCTTAGAAAAGTTAACTTAATGTATATTGTATATATTTATTTAATTTAGTTTTAATATTTACATTAATATTAGAAGTTATGAATTTTAACTTATTATTATGTGTTAACCTGCTTATAGTAAATTAAAAGTATTTACTCGTACTTTTCAAGTCATTTACACTTGAACTTTTTTTTTTTATATTTTTACAAATTATATAATCTAGCATACATTGTGATTATTTTCTTTTCGGATATACATAAATCAACGATAACATAGTAGTAGATAATTAATAACTTAATAATTAATCATTGAAAACTTAAATGTAATCAGTATAACTTAATATGAATCATCATAACTTAATAGTAAATTAATAATAATGTACTAGTAAATGAATGATAATTTAATAGTTAATGGTTGAAAACTTTTTAATAAATCTGTAATAATACAATAACAAATACATAATACTTTAATGGTAAATCAATTATAACATAATTATAAATGCATAATAGTAGAATAATAAATCAAGAATAATTTAACAACAAATAAGTGATAATTTAATAGTCAATTATTGATAATTTAATAATAAATAAATGATAACTTAATAATAAGTCAGTTTCAGTTTAATAGTAATTAATTGATAGTAGTAAATAATAAAAAATTTAGTAGTAAATCAATTATATATTAGTAGTAAATAATTGATAATTTAGTAGTTATTCATTGAAAACTTAAAAGTAAATTAGTATAATTTTATCATAAATCATGAATAATATAATAGTTAATCATGCATAACTTACTATAAAACAATAATAATTTAGTAACGAATCATAAATAATTTAGAGGTAAATCAGTGATAGTTTTGTGATAAATAAATTAGTAATAAATTAGTTGTAAATCAATAATCATTTAGTAGTAAATTTATTAATCATTGATAACTTTTTAGTAAATTATCGATAATTAGTAGTAAATTAGTTATAATTTTATAATAAATCATTAATAACTTAGTGGTAAATCACCGACAATAATTAATAAATCATTCATAACTTAATAGCAAATCATTTATAAATTAGTAGCAAATCCTTCAAATATTAGTAGTACATCATTGATAACTTAGTAATAAATAATTAATAGTTTAATTATCAATTATTGACAACTTTTATTGTATTTGAAGTTGCCAGAGATTGAAAATTGGGTACTAATAGAAACGAAATCAAAACTTTTGTTTTAAGGATTAAGATAAATCTATCATGAACATATTCAATAAAAAATTAGTGAAAAAAATTATAAATTTAAATAAAACAATAATGTTTTTATATAAAAAGCAAATTATCTTGTATATTATTAGCGAACTTTTAAGTTTTAAATTTTATAGTTGTAAATACATAATAACATATTAGCAAATCAATAATGGATTAATAAAAACTAATTGATAACTTAATAATAAATTGATGATGACTTAATTGTAAATTAATGATAAATTAATAGTAAATCAATTTCAATTTAGTCGTAATTAATTGATAAATTTAGTAGTAAATCATAAATAATTTAATAGTAAGTCAATAATAATTTAGTAGTTAATCATTAAAAATTTAAAAGTAAATTAATATAATTTAATAGTAATTAATCATCAATAACTTAATAATTTTAACAGTAAAATTATGAATAATTTTAAAAAAATCAATGATAACTTGATAATGAATTATGATTAATTTTGTAATAAATATGGATTGTGATGGTCTTATAGTAAATAATTGAAAACTAATTAATAAATCAATAATAATATAGTAGTAAATACATAATAATACAATAATAAATAATTAATAATTTAGACGTAAATTATTAATAACTTAGTAATAAATCACTAATAATTTAATTGTAAATAAGTGATAATTCAGTAGCAAATTAGTTAATTATTGATAATTTTGTAGTAAGTCATCAATAAATTAATAATAAATCAGTTATAACTTTATAATAAATTATCAGTAACTTAGTAGTAATCATTAATAATTTAGTAGTAAATCAGTTATAACGTAATAGTAAATAAATCATAATTTAGTTAAAAATTATTGATTATTTAGTAGTAAATTATTGATAATTTAATAGTAAATCATTAATAATTTAACAGTATATCATTGATAGTTTAGTAGTAAATTATTGATAATATAATAATAAATCAATGATAATTTAATTGTCGATCATTGATAAAATTTTTCTAAATTTGGATTGGTTAGAAATTGAATTTTGATTACTAGTAAAAATGGAGTTAAAAATTTTATCTTGGGAGATTAGAATAAACCTATCACAAATTTATTTAATAAAAACGTTTAATGAAAAAATTCAAAGGATTATTAAAATTACACCAATAGGTTAGTAAAATTTTATAAAAAATTATCAAAATTATATCATAAATTATCAAAATTATATAAAAAATTATCAAATTTTACTTATATTATACTAAAATTAAAATTAAATTATTAGTATTTATCATTATTATTATAGTTTAAAAAAATTACAAAATAAATTTTTAGAAATAAGAATTACACATATGTCATGCACGTGTCAAAAATTAAAATTTATAAAAAGAAGACCATATTTTGAAAATAAAAAAAATAAAAAAATAAAAAACAATTATTGATTGTTTATGTAATCATCTTTAAAAAATAATATAAAAAAAATTTGAATTTAAAATTTTAACATATATAATCTCTTATCATATTTTTATAACGTAACTTTCTTATAAATTATATATAAACAAAATAATCGAATCTAATATATTTTACTTCTTTTGAAATTGAATGTTGATTTTGACTTTCCATTAAGTGTCGAATTTAAGAAAAACCATTGATTTAGTAGTAAGTTAGTAAATAATATTAGTAATTAAGATCAAAAGCCAAATAAAAAATGGAAATGAATAAAAGAAAAATGCAAAAACGACGTAGTTTCTATTCATTGCACTGGCGGCAACGGTAACGAACTTTAAGTAACTCTATCAATCGATCAAAAAACAAAAAATATTAAAAATCTTGCTGAGGAAGCAAAAAAGAATATGGGAGTTCAAGGTCTCTGGGAACTACTGGCTCCCGTCGGCCGCCGCGTGTCCGTCGAAACCCTAGCCGGAAAGAAACTCGCCATCGGTAATCCCCGAATCTCTAACCCTAAAACTTCTAAATTCTTTAGTAAATTATTTACTTTTTTCTTTCTGTTTTTTGAAGATGCGAGTATTTGGATGGTTCAATTCATGAAAGCGATGCGAGACGAGAAAGGAGAAATGGTTCGGAACGCCCATTTGTTAGGGTTTTTTAGGAGAATTTGCAAGGTTTTGTATCTAAAAACTAAGCCTGTTTTCGTCTTCGATGGTGCCACACCGGTTCTCAAGCGCCGCACCGTCATTGCTCGCCGTCGCCAGCGAGAAAACGCCCAAGCTAAGATCCGTAAAACTGCTGAAAAATTGCTCCTCAATCACGTAAATTTCTTAATTTTTTCTTTTAAGGTTTTATTTGAAATGCTGAGTTTTAAGGTTAAATATGGTTATTACTATTTTGTTACTAATTAGAAAAGTAAAGATAAAATGTAAAGTAATTGTATTTAATTAAAAATGAATAATTGAATGCAAATGTTCCAAATAAAAGTAAAATTTTTAATTTTTAATTCTTTAAAAACATAGTATTTGTTTTTCATCAATGCGGTTTTTTAGTTTTTTTCTTTAATTTAATTTAAAAAAAAACTTTAAAACTTGCAGTAACTGAATTGAATAAAAATTACAAATTTTGTTTTTAAATTAATTTATTTTCTATTTGTTGCCTTGTTATAATTTTGAACGTGTGGTGGAGAAAATGATTTTTTCTCTCTTTGGGTTCAGAATTTAATTCGTTTTGGGGTTATTGTTCTATGTTTTGGCGGTTAATAGCTAAAGCAAATGAGACTGAAAGAGCTGGCAAAGGATCTTGAGAACCAGAGGAAAATGCAAGAGAATAATGGGAAGGGTAGGAGGGTTTCTTTGCATAAGCAGTATGATGCTAACATTACAGATGTGGCATTGACAAATTCCGATCATGTAAAGCTGAAAGAAAAGTAAGCTGCAGATTAAATGGTTGACTATTGTTTTCAGGATTTTTTTTACCATATTTGTTGTTAAATGGGCTTTTTCTTATTATTTAGATCAGAAGTGCCTATTCCTGCTGAGGAAGGGGGTCACAGTGAAAATGAAAATGAAGATGAAGAGATAATACTTGTAAGAGCTTATTAACTATATACTTGTAGTTGCTATCTTTATGGAAGTACTGCTTTTCATGGTTTTCCGCTAGATTGAACCACTTTAGTGGAAGTACTACTCAAGTACTTGTTACAGAAGTACTTTATCTTTACATTGTCAAATACAAGGTTTTTTTGTACTACTTGTGGAAACTGAATGTATATTGAAAAACTGCTTATCTACAATTATACAAGAATCTTAGGTTTATATACAACTAACTAGGGGTTAAACTAGGAAACTAAATCTTCCTTAATTCTAGGGATACAAATACTTAATTCTAGAGATACAAATATAAATATACAGATTACAAGATTACAACCAACTGTAAATAAGTGTTTTCCCACACTCCCCCTCAAGCTGGTGAATAGGTGTTTTCCATTCCCAGCTTGGAAATAATTTCTTGAAATGTTGCACTTCTGAGATCTTTAGTCAACACATCTGCAAGTTGGCCCTTGGTTGATACATAAGGTGTACAAATCAACCCACTGTCTAGTTTCTCCTTTATGTGCCGGTCTACTTCAATGTGTTTTGTTCTGTCATGTTGCACAGGATTGTGTGCAATGCTTATTGTAGACTTATTATCACAGTAGAGTCTCATTGGTCAATCCCACTTGATCTTCAAGTCTTCTAGGATAATCTTTAACCATAGTAGTTCACAAATTCCTTGAGCCATTGCTCTGAACTCTGCTTCAGCACTTGATCTTGCCACCATATTCTGTTTTTTACTCCTCCAAGTCATAAGATTACCACCTAAGAAAGTGCAGTAGCCTGAGGTAGATCTTCTATCAATTACTGAACCTGCATAATCAGCATCTGTATATGCTTCTAGAACTAACCCCGAATCTCTTTTGAATAAGATACCTCTCCCAGGATTGACCTTCAAATAATGCAATATACGGTAAACAGCCTGTAGGTGCATTTCTTTAGGACTATGCATAAATTGACTTACCACACTCACAGCATATGCTATATCAGGTCTAGTATGTGAGAGAGAAATGAGTCTTCCAACTAATCTTTGGTACATCTCTCTATTTACAGCAGCATCTTCATTAGCTTCTCCAATTTTATGATTAGGATCTATAAGGGTATTTGCAGGTTTACATGCAAGCTTCCCAGTTTCCTTCAGAAGATCCATCACATATTTCTGTTGTGAGATAAAAATACCATGCCGTGAGTGAGCTACTTCAATTCCTAGGAAGTACTTCAATCTCCCTAGCTCTTTTATCTCAAATTCTCTAGCCAAACACTGTTTTAGAGATTCTCTCTCTTTTTCATTATCTCCAGTTACAATTATATCATCAACATACACTAATAGAACTGTGACTCTCCCTGAATTAGAGTGCTTGATAAACAATGTGTGATATCCTTGACTCTGTTTATATCCCATTGCTAGCATCACTTTGGCAAATCTCCCGAACCAAGCTCTAGGAGACTGTTTAAGGCCATATAAAGCCTTTTTTAACCTGCATACTTTGTTTGCTTCTAGATGACCTCCAAATCCCGGTGGAACCTTCATATATATTTCTTCTTCCAAATCACCATGTAAAAAAGCATTCTTTACATCAAATTGTTGAAGCTGCCAATTGTAATTTGCAACTAATGATAACAAAATCCTAACTGTATTCATCTTGGCAACTGGAGCAAAGGTTTCCTGGTAATCCACTCCATAGGTCTGAGTGTAGCCCTTAGCCACTAACCTGGCTTTATACCTTTCAACAGTACCATCTGCCTTGTATTTTACAGTGAAAACCCATTTACACCCCACTGAATTTTTTCCTTTAGGCAACTTTACCAGTTCCCATGTCTGATTTTTCTCTAAGGCCTCCATTTCTATTTTCATGGCTTGCCTCCATTTCTCACTGGATAATGCCTCGGATAATGTAGTTGGAACAAAAATAGTGTTTAGGCTCACAAGAAAATTTTTGTGGGATGGTGAGAATTGTTCAAATGACACAAAATTAGATATTGGGTATAGTGGATGCTTGGTACATTCTTTGATTCCTTTCCTAATGGCAATAGGCAAATCATAATCACTAGTTATAGTTTTAGGAGATTCATGCTCATTTTGAGAAACATAGTCAAAAACTGTAGTTACCTCATTTCCAGAGTTAGGATCAGGTTCTTGGACTGGCACTGGTTCAGGATTTGGAACTTTCCTTCTTGAGTACACCTGTAATTCCTTCATAGAATCAAGAACAATATTATCCTTTGTCACATCTTCCGTATTTGGAATCGGTTCAGACTCAAATTCAATGTTTGACTTAGGCTCAGCAGAAACAGGTTTCGACTCATAAGAATTAATGGGTGTAAATGTTGAAGAAGGGGGCAAATCAAGCAAAAAGAAGTTTTTATCCTTATATTCCATGAATGAAGTCTCCCCCTGAAGATAAGGTTGAGTAAAAAATGGTTTATTTTCTTCAAAAGTGACATCTGTAGACACATAAAATTTTTTGGTAGGAGGATGATAGCACTTATATCCTTTTTGAGTTGAAGAATACCCCACAAAAATACACTTAATCGTTCTTGGATCCAACTTTCCCCTGTTATGACTGTGAACATGAACAAATGATGTACAACCAAATATCCTAGGTGTGAGATTGTTTGTGGTATTGAGGTTGGGATAAAATTGTGAGAGTAGTTCCATAGGAGTTTTAAATCCCAAAACTTTTGAAGGTAACCTATTTATAATGTGTGTGGTAGTGAGAACAGCTTCCCCCAATAAGATTTAGGTACATTTGCTTGAAAAAGAAAGGCTCTGGTTGTGGCTAATAAATGGCTGTTTTTTATCTCTGCCACTCCATTCTGCTGTGGAGTATTAACACAAGATGACTCATGGATAATCCCCTCTTTTTGGAAATAGGTGGATAGACTCTGGTTGAAGTAGTCTTTTGCATTATCAGACCTAAATCTCTTGATTCTTACTCCAAATTGATTTTGGATCATGTTTTGGAAGCTTAAAAACACACTATTCACATCTGATTTGGATTTAAGTAAAAAAACCCAAGAGACCCTAGTACAATCATCTATGAATGAAACAAACCATCTCGCACCAGAAATATTAAGAATTGTAGAGGGACCCCAAATGTCACTATGAATCAAGTAAAAAGGAGTAGAACTTCTTTTGTTACTGATTGGAAAAGACACACGTCTATGTTTTGCAAATTCGCAAATATCACAATGAAAATCTTCAACATTTAATTCTTTGAACAAAGAAGGAAACATGTTTCTCAAGGTTCCAAAAGAAGGATGTCCAAGACGAAAATGATAAAGCCATATTTTGTCTTTATTGGAAGATTTTTCAGAAAGAAATGACAAAGGTAAACTATTTTTGATACTACTTGTGTTATTCGATATCTCAAGATAGTATAGTCCATCCTTCTCCTTAGCAAGTCCAATCATCTTCCCCGAACTCTGATCCTGAAATTCACAATAAGAGGGATAAAAAGTTATTTTGCAATTCATATCTCTGGTAAGTTTTTGTATAGATATCAGATTAGTAGACAATCCAGGAACATGAAGAACATTTTTGAGAACAAACGAGGGATTAACTTGAACATCTCCTAATCCTGCCACTGTGGTAAGTGAACCATCAGCAACAACAATTTTCTTATTACTAGGACACAGGTTATATGTACTAAACTTTTGTGGGGAACGTGTCATGTGGTCTGTGGCTCCTGAGTCAATGACCCAAGAACTCGTAATAAGCTTAGCCGAGACATTTAATCCATGAGAACCGGAAGCTTTACCTGAACTAGAAACTTTACCCAAAGAACATACCATAGTAGGCTTTTCAAGGATTTTCAATAAGTTTCTCAGCTTTTCAATCTCTTCCTTGTTGAACTCTCCTTGTTTCTGAGACATCTGTAGTACTTCAGTGATTTTCCTAGTTAACATTTCCTCAAATTGGGTGATAGTGATATCTTTCTTTGAAAGGGTTCGGCAATGAAGGCCTAAACAGGATTCGGCAATGAAGGCCTAAAAACGTCGGCAATGAAGGCCTAAAAAGGTCAGCAATGAAGGCTGAAAATTTTTCTTCCCAAGAAGAGCCTAAAGCTCTGATACCATGTGGAAACTGAATGTATATTGAAAAACTGCTTATCTACAATTATACAAGAATCTTAGGTTTATATACAACTAACTAGGGGTTAAACTAGGAAACTAAATCTTCCTTAATTCTAGGGATACAAATACTTAATTCTAGAGATACAAATATAAATATACAGATTACAAGATTACAACCAGCTGTAAATAAGTGTTTTCCCACACTACTCAGTGCTTTTAATATTTTCAACTTATGTAGTTTATGATGGTTATTGTACTTGATTCATTTGCAGCCAGAGATTGACGGAAATATTGATCCTGATGTTTTAGCTGCTTTGCCACAGTCTATGCAACGGCATCTTCTTAAGCAGGTGGTGGCTAATATATCCTCTGGTTGAGAGTCTGTCTTCCAGGTTTTGCTTTCTCCATATTATTTTGTTTTGATGGTTGATATAGGTAACATTTGGTTTTTTTGATTAAATTGCAGAATGATGATAAAGGTGAGAAGATTTTCTCCAGTGACCTAGATCAATCTAACATGGAGAGGAGTAACACAGAACATGATGCTATGCCATCAAGTAGTTACAATCAGGAAAAGCTGGATGAAATGTGAGCAACATTTGCAATTGAAGTTAGATCAATTATTCAGTTTGAATAGTTTGTTTTTATTGTTTTAATGAGTTAATTTAGGTTGGCAGCAACTCTTGCGGCACAGGAAGATAACAATTTAGCTAACAATGCATCAACATCAGTTGCATCCATCCCTTCTGAGGAAGATGGTGATGAAGATGAAGATGAAGATGAAGAGATGATGCTTGTAAGTTTTTCCTTCTGGAAAAGTATGAAGACTCTGTTGTTATGAATGTTTTGTTGTGTATTGCTAAAAAAGACTCCCTTTGTGATTATATGTTCTTATTAATTCAGTCCTTTTGTGACAGCTTTTTGTTATGTTTATATTTATGAATCTTCTTTAAGCTCGTTTATTTTTAGCCAATGCATGGGAATGTTGATCCTGCTGTTTTAGCTGCTTTGCCTCCATCTCTGCAACTTGATCTTCTTGTTCAGGTGCAATATCTATATGTATATGGTTATATGTTCTTGTCATTTCTGGATTTCTAGCTTCTCCTTCACAATATATTTTGATGATTGTTGCTACATCCTCAATTATAGATGAGGGAAAGGTTGATGGCTGAAAACAGACAGAAGTATCAAAAAGTAAAAAAGGTATGTTCTTTGTTGATTTAATATGCAATGGGGATCATTTTAATAAATGCATAACATATTGCAAGATCCAAGCAATAGGGATTCTCCTGAAGGTTTAATTGATAGACTGTCTTGTGTCTGTGTCATTTACTCAATAACAACGACTAGATGCATATTTATTGGTTTATAATTTAAGAAACTTGTCCCTCTCCCTCCATAGACATTGAATGCTGAGCTGTTTCAGTATGATGGAAGCAGCATGTTAATCTCATATCATTAATATCACAAAGTCTTAGAGAGTGGATTTGTTTCATATGCTAATGACTATGCTAGGTCTAACCTAACACAGGAAAAGTATGGTCGAAGCCTACATTTTTTATGTGTCATGAAGTTTGGTAGAATTGGGAAATACTGCTGAATATTTTGGTAGATATAGTCTCTCTAATATCATTTGATTTTAATTTTTTTAAAATGAATATGGGAACTACATTAATGATGTGTTTCTTTACCATGCTCACTCTGATTTGGTAGCTTTATTTGGACCTTATGGGTCTTATTCTTTTATTCGTTTCTGCTCAGGCACCTGAAAAATTCTCTGAGCTACAAATACAGTCTTATCTTAAAACCGTTGCTTTCCGTCGAGAGATAGATGAAGTGCAGAGAGCTGCTGCTGGGAGAGGGGTGGCTGGTGTACAAACTTCAAGGATAGCCTCTGAAGCCAACAGAGAATTTATTTTTTCATCATCATTTACTGGAGACAAACAGTAAGTAGTGATTTTGTTGTTGTTTTCAACATGACCATGCAAGTCATGATCTTATTAGTAAAAACCAGGTCTTAATGCTTGATTTGTATCTTCTTCAAACAAGGAGGTGCTCTTTGCTTGTTTTCTCTTTTGGTTTGCATTATACAGGAATAATAACTTTGTTGGGTTGTACATTCTAAATTGCCAGGGTACTTACATCTGCTAGAAAAGAGAGAGATAAAGATAAGCAGCAGGAGATACATTCATATCATCCTTCAGGTTCTTTGAATAGCGGTATATCAATCAGTAAGTCCAATATAGTGACAGAATCAGTCCCCAATGAACCTAGTAGTGCTCCTGATGAAGATGTTGGGACATATCTTGATGAGAGAGGCCATGTACGTGTCAGTAGAGTGAGAGGTATGGGGATTCGTATGACTCGTGATTTACAAAGGAACTTGGATTTGATGAAAGAGATTGAGCAGGAAAGAACAAATTCAAATAAGGCTGTGAATGTGCAGTCTGTGCCAGATAGGAACAGAATTGGCCCTTCAAAGAGTTCATCAAGTGAAATCCTGTTTGTGGAAGCTTCACATGATGGTAACTGTGAATCTGTAAATTTGAATAAGAGTAACCAGCAGTCTTCTTTTAAAAATGAAGCTTGTATGGAAATAACTTTTGAAGATGATGGAAAGACCGGTATTTTTGATGATGATGATAACATCTTTGCACGTTTAGCAGCAGGAGATCCTGTAACACTACCTTCTCCGGGGGAGAAACCTTCGAGAAAGCAAGCTTCAGATTCTTATTCAGATTGTGAGTGGGAGGAAGGAACGGTTGAAGGAAAATTGGATGGTGTCGCTTATTGTATGAATGCTGAAAATAATCCCTCGAATAGGGAAAGCAATGGTACTGATGAGAGTGAAGTGGAATGGGAGGAAGATCCTTCTGATGCTCCCAAGAATTCCTCTGGCCCTGTTGAATCAGGAAGAATGTTCTCTAAAGGTTATTTGGAAGAGGAAGCTGATTTGCAGGAGGCAATACGGAGAAGTCTCACATATTCAGATGTCAAAAAATCTAATTATTTTCCCTCTGAAGTTGATAAATCAAAAACCTTTGGAGAAAACATGGATGAAGGTTTTGAATCTCTGCATGAAAAAGGTAATACGGGTGGACCAGGTTTTCCAGGGGATAATGTTACTCAGTGGAATAAATCTGTTGAAAATTTAGATAGATTTCAGAAGCTGTATACTGTGGATGAGCGAAGTATGTTGGAAACCTTTAATTCTCCAGAGAGGTTGTCACCTGTAGCTCATAATTCTGATAAAAACAGGACGCTATTAAATAAACCCTGTGAAAGATCTGATGGTCCTCATTCTGAACAATCAAGGCACAATGCAAGTACAGAATTAGTTACAACATTGGAAACGGAGGTTGATTTTCCTCCAAGGAAAAACTTGGATGCTTCTAATGAGGTTGATGGATTGTCAACCGTCTCTAACAGTTGGTCAAAGAATAGTTCTCACAGTTTAGATGCTGTACTTGATGACCTTCCTGGTGCCATTCTGGTTGATAAGAAAAATGGTTCTGAAGGTGAACCATCCATCTTGGTCAGTGATAAGAAAAGTAGTGAACAGTGCATTATGGGTGAAGATAAGAAAAATACTTTTGAAGCTAAAACATTGCATCAATCGATTGAGATAGTTGACTCATCCGTTGCCCTTGTGCAGTCATCTGTGAATAAAGTAACATCTGATATTCACATTGAGCAAGAATTAGTGAGGGATAAAAATTATGAAAATTGTGTCAATGAAGCAGAGCAGGATACAGACATGTCTACATTTAAGGGCAATGACAATGCAGAAATTGAGTTCACAGAGGCTAGTTTGGATGAGGAATTGCTAGTTCTAGGTCGAGAATGTATGGATCTAGGAGATGAGCAGAGGAAGCTTGAACGAAATGCAGAATCTGTTAGTAGTGAGATGTTTGCAGAGTGTCAGGTTTGTTTTCTGGATTTCAGTTTACATTTTAAAGGAACATCCATGGTCATGATCAACAGATTGCTTGCACTGGCTTGTTAGCTATCTTTTATGGATTCAAGAATCATTACTAACATGTGGAAGCAAAATTGTTGGAAAGGTAGTCTAAAATAGAGTTACAAGGGGCTGAGGCAAAAAATTTAAATTATTTTATCTGTCTGGACAATTAATATGCACATAAAAATCCATGAGGCATCTACATAGAAGTTGGAATTTAAGTACATTGCCACCCCTGTTTGGTTATTTTTCTCTTCTTGTAACTTACATACTAGGGCACTAGCAAGTGAATGGAAGGGGTATAACATGGTAGAACAGGCATGAAAGCTGTATCTAACTTGGTATGATCAATATTCAGGGATTTAAGGTTATTTGGATGTTATTTTCTATTGAATCTTCTCTCTTCCCAAAAGGCTCTCTAGTTAATGTCTGTGCTGCTATTTTGGTGCACATGATGCTCTGCAGGAACTGCTGCAAATGTTTGGCTTACCCTACATTATTGCACCAATGGAGGCAGAAGCTCAATGTGCTTATATGGAGCTGACTAACCTTGTTGATGGTGTTGTCACTGATGATTCTGATGTATTCTTGTTTGGGGCACGAAGTGTTTACAAGAATATATTTGATGATCGGAAATATGTGGAGACTTATTTTATGCAGGTCTGGATTCTGTTAAAGCTATGAAAGAGTTCTTATTTTCTTCTTGTACCTCAATTACTTTTCATTTTAAGAAACTCTTTCATAGTGTTTATTTAATTTTATACATATTTTTCTCTTTCTTTTTTGATGCTTCATAACAGTAAAAGGGTGCTGCCTGTTGGGTGGATTTGGGTTTTTCAAAGGTTTTGATAGTTTTTCTAGAATCTTTGTAATGGAGATTCATCTGCCATTTTCTCAGTCCTTTTTCCTTTTGCTGGTTCTCTAGCATCCTTATCACATATACAATCTGTACGTCTTTTGCCTTGTCCTAGTGAGGTGTCTTTTGCTTCTTTTTAATTCCCTTTTCCACAAAAAGTTATTCATTATTGGCCTTTTTGCATAATTTAGGCCTGCATTCGGTGCTTGTTGTGTTCATTATGTTTCTCTTCTCCACCCTTCCCATCCTCCCCCTGCCCCCCTTCATTTTTTGGTTTGCTTATTTCTCTTGCTCTGTCTCTCTCTTGGTCCAGGACATTGAAAAGGAGCTTGGATTAACAAGGGAAAAGTTAATACGGATGGCATTGCTTCTTGGGAGTGACTATACTGAGGGGGTTAGGTAAATAATGGTGGCATTTTTGCTCTACTGATTTCATGAATTAAAAGAAATATAACTTTAACTTATTATGGCCAACGCTTTTCCGAGACCTGCTTCATTTGGAATTTTTATGTTTTGAATTTTTGCATTTCATTTATCAATATTATGTTCTTAGTTTGATGCTCTTCTGCATTGATAGCCTGCTAATTACTTGGTCTTTAACTTATGTACATTTTATTGCAGTGGGATTGGCATTGTTAATGCTATCGAGGTTGTAAATGCATTCCCAGAAGAAGATGGGCTTCATACATTTCGTGAGTGGATTGAGTCCCCAGATCCTACCATCTTGGGGAAGGTTAATGTGCAAGAAGGATCTAGTGCAAGGAAGAGAGGATCAAAATTCAGTGACAAAGATGTAAATAGTGCAAAAACCAGCATGATAGACTCTGTAAGCAGCATTGAAGGAGTGTCTTCACTTGATCAGAACATTTCTCAAGCTGACGAAAACAAGCAGTCTAAAGATTGTATTGATGACATGAAGCAGATTTTCATGGACAAGCATGTGAATACCTTGTTTCCTGCTTATTCTTTTCTATTGCCTTCATTATCACAAAATTATTATTTTGCTTTTCTCTCTCATTTATAAATTTATTAATCTAATAATGTACAGAGAAATGTGAGCAAGAACTGGCATATACCTTCATCTTTCCCTAGTGAGGCAGTTATTTCTGCATATTCTTCTCCACAAGTGGATAAGTCAACTGAGCCTTTTACATGGGGAAGGCCTGATCTTTTTATACTTCGCAAGTTGGTTACCTTACATTTAGTTCTTCGCTTTTAAGGAAATTAATAACCACATGTTATTGCCTTTAAATTTTTTTCAAGGTTCTGACTTTTAGCTGACATTTTAAGAAGACTTACAATATAAACACTTTTGGGGTTCTTACTGTAGTATGCTGTGTGAATTGAATAAACGTATTTGATAATTGTTTATGATTTTCTTTGATTGCATGCAGACTGTGCTGGGAGAAGTTTGGATGGGGTAGTCAGAAATCAGATGAGTTGCTACTGCCCGTTTTAAGGGAGTACGAAAAACGTGAGGTTAGAGACTTATTTTTCTCCTTCTCGTATGTACATGGTGTGCACACGATGCACTTGAAAGCATTTGAAGCATCACCAAGTAAAGAATCAAGATTAGTGTGGTCACTGTTCATGCTTCTTCATTTGTGATTTGATGGACTTGTCATAGATGAAGTTCCTGATACCATATATGTTACTTGTTTGATGAAGACTCAATTGCGACTGGAAGCCTTTTACACTTTCAATGAAAGATTTGCTAAAATTCGTAGCAAGAGAATTAAGAAAGCAGTTAAAGGAATCACTGGAAATCAATCCTCAGAGTTGATAGATGATGCCATGCAACAAGTTTCTAAAAGTAGGAAAAAGAGAAAACTTAGCCCAGTTCAAAGTGGTGATAATAAATCAGGGGAACCTTCAAACAGGAAAGAGGACATTGTTTCTCGGTGTCAGATCAAATCCACGGAAAAATCAGTGCCTAAGTCATCAAGGAAAAGGCAGAACCCTGGAAAGCATGTTCCATCTGAGATGATCACTCCAGAACCACAACTGCAGGCAGCTCGCAGGCAAAAAGCCAATAAACAATCACATGGGAGTGGAAGAGGTAGAGGTCATGGTGCAGGAAGAAGGCATAAAGCAAGTCCTGATTTTCAGCAGTCTGAAACTAGCTTTTCTGGCGGTGATAGTGACAAAGATTTCAAGGAAGTTGATGGGGAGAAGTTAGATTGGCCACAAGAAGTGCGAAGGGTAAGCTATCTTCTGTTTTGTGGTTTAATTGCTCCTCCTGACAAAGCTCCAAATGAACTCGTTTTTGAGATATTAATGGTTTGCTTCAATCCTATTTGTTTCTTCAGTCAATGCGAACTCGAAACCCTGTGAATTACGTTGTGGATGACCTAGCAGACGAGGTTGGCTTCAGCAATAAAGAATCCGTTGGTGAAGAGGCAATGGAAAAAGAAGCAGCTGATGATCTAAATGAAAAGAACCTGCCTGAAGTGCGAGCTCCTTCTCTTGAGGACTTCAGTAGAGACTATCTTGAAACAGGAGGTGGATTTTGCATGGATGAAACAGAAATTGGTCAACCTGATGCAAGCCAAGATGTTGAAGCGGAAGCATCGAACGATTACCTGAAAATGGGAGGTGGATTTTGCTTGGAAGAAAGTGAGACTATGAAGGACCTAGACACTGCTTACTACCAAGATCCTGTCGGGGCAACTGACTCTTCAAGTTTCTTTGTTTCTACGGACAAAGCTGATGATAACATTGGTTCAGCCGGACCATCTTTCAATGCTGAAGGATCATTGGATGGACTCCAAAATGGAGGGAAGACACATAAACCAATTGTTGAGCTGAATCTGGACCAACAAAATGCAACAAATAAAGATGATTCCAAGAAAAGTGCATCTCTTCGGGACTCAACCACAAATGATGTCGGGACAACATTCAATGGTGGTCTAAGTGCAATGCCTACCTTGAAGAGAAATCGGAGGAAGAGGTGAACCGCAGTTTACCTTTTGTGCTGTCTGTAACTATTTTGGAGCCTGTAAAGTGCCCATCTTGTGCCTGTTTCTTGGGAACTTGTAAATTAAATTTCCCCAGACTCTGGGCCTGGGGTCTCTTTGAAATTTGAGGGTATTGGAGTGTATATCTGTCATTTTCTGTTACCAGGGGCCATATAATATGTACGGAGTACAGTCCTAGACAACTTATTTTCGACTCATTATGGGGAAAATGGTTTATCAAGTCAACAAGCACTCCGTGATGATATAATTGTCTTTTCACTTCGTCGATGATTGTTTGGATTCAATTGGATTTGGCTCTCAAATGTGACCCTACTTTAAAAAAAATTGGATATTATTTTTATTTTTGTGGTATGCAAAATTTAAAATAAGCCGGTTATCCAATTTTTTATGTTAAAGTAAGATACGATATATTTAATAATTTAATTTAAAATAAATAATTTTAAATTATGTATTTGAGATAATTTCATTTAATGATATTTAAATTTAAAATTTTTTCATTAAAAATGATGAATTTTAATCTATTAAATCAATTATATTATTGCTCGATGCAAGTGGCTGATAAAGAAATGGTCAGGCTGTTTGTCTTTTTGGGGCATTATGTATTTAAGGACACATGGTATCAAACGTATTGCATCTAACATGTTGCTTTCCATGTGGGACAGACACATCATGCTTGAGCAATGTATTGTTTTCCTTGTTTGAAGGAAAAATATCCATATGTTTCTGTCTACCTCCAGCTTGCAGGTACAAAAGTAGGGGAAGTTATCAGGCAAAAAAAAAGGCCTGAAAAAACCTCCGGGTGAAGATGGGGTTAACTTCTTACATATGGAATGCAGCGCCTTTTGTGGCAATGATAACAGTGGAGTGTACGGATGTGGGTCTTTCAGTTATCAGTAAAGCAGCTTTGACGAAAGGAATGAGCAACATCGTTTCAGTTGTCTACTACAACGCTCTTGGTACTTTCATCCTTCTCCCATGCTTCATCTTTTGCAGGTATGTTGCTTGTAGCTGAAAAAACTTTGATGTTATATGTAAGAATTGTTTCCAACCTTTGTGAATTTTACTTGTGCAGAAATAAGCAAGCTCCTCTGACTTTCTCACTGCTTTGGAGATTCTTTCTCCTAGGCTTTATAGGGTAATGGGCAAAATTGAACACTGTTGATGTTAGTGCTGAAATTTGGCATATGGGTTGAACTCATACAATCAACCTTTTAATCTTTTGGAATTTTATTTTCCATTTTGAGATCTATGCTCCAAAAAGAAACAAACTGTTTGACAACAGAAATTTTCTCTTGCAGAAGCTCAGGACAGATTATATATCTTGCTGGAGTCAATTACAGCTCTCCTACTCTCTCATCCGCTTTAGTAAATCTTATCCCCATTTTCACTTTCCTGTTTGCAGTCATATTCAGGTAGTAAGGAACAATGTTCTAAGTTTCAGCAGAAACCTTTTACTGTTAAATAAATCTAGGTTATGTTCAATTATCTCAGACTCCCAGTATGTAAAACAAACAAATAAAAGAAAATGAAGAATGTAAAGAGTTAAGAATTAGAAATTCTTAATTGAATATCAAGTATTTTGCAATGGTGTTTTCTGTTTTCATGCATGTGGTGCAGACAGTTTCCTTGATGAAATTCTTTTTTTCCCTGTCTGATACATCTTTGATGATGCTTGAATTATAGGATGGAAAAGCTAGAATTAAGAAGATCAAGCAGTCAAGCAAAAGCCTTGGGTGCTGTTGTAGCTGTAACAGGAGCATTTGTAGTGACTCTCTATAAGGGTCCTCCAGTTCTGATAACTTCATCTCCTTCAAACTTTCCTCAGCACCTTCTTCACTCAGAGCAATCTAGGTGGATTCTTGGAGGCTTTCTTATTTTATTGGTTTGCCTTTCATCTGCAACATGGAATGTTTTTCAGGTAAAACATGAACACTTTGCTTGAATTTACCACTAATACTCTTACATTCTAAGACCTTTTTTGTTCGGTAAATGGGCAAAAATTTCTGCTATGAAAGTCATTTTGTGATATTAGACCTAAATAATACTATTTTGTAGAGAATTAATTATCATATGTTATCTATTATCAAGAATAATAATTGGCATGATTTCATGCTTTCAGGCAGCCACCGTTAAGGAGTATCCAGATAAAATGACGATAGTCTTCTTCTTTACGTTCTTTACAGCTATCCAATCTTTGGTTTTCTCTCTAATTTTGGAAAGAAATCCAACTGCATGGAAATTGAAGTCTACTGTTGAAGTCGCTGCCATTGTCTGCACGGTAATCATAACATCAAAGCCTTGATGATGTTTTCATTGTTACAGACTTTAATGAATTAGAAATTTCACATGCATGTTTAAAACAGTTTGATGTCGGATGAATCACTTTTTCAGCTAAAATCAATCTATAAATTGATATTTGGGAGAATCCAAAAAAGGGTTGAATAGCAACCTGTGTTCTGTTGTCTTTAAGATTCCTATTGCTGGCCAAAGAACTTCAGAACAAAATGGAAAACAAGACATGTAATGAATAACAAATTTTGCGTTCTTCAGCGCCAACAATTTTCTTTCCATGTACCGATATGGGGATTATTTGCAGGCCATATTTGGGAGTTTATACCGTATTGCTATCCATACATGGTGCTTACAGAAGAAGGGACCAGTGTATGTTGCCATGTTCAAGCCCTTGGGAATTGTTGTTGCAGTAATCCTGACATTCATATTTCTTGGTGATACTCTTTATCTGGGCAGGTATGTCAGTCTGCTTGAAGTCCAACTTAGAAGTACTTGTTAATGAGTTGCCCAAGTTATTAAGGACTGGTGATCAAATTTTATCTCTATCTTTGCAGTGTGGTTGGATCTGGAGTTATTGCACTTGGATTCTATACTGTGATGTGGGGACAAGCCAAAGAGAAGAACATAGTCTTGGAAAATGATGTTTCTCACCTGGAATCATCCGGCCAAAAGGCCCCTCTTATTCAGAGCCGTTGAATCATGTAACAAAATTTGTCTATCTTGCTGGGGGAAACATGTGAGTGTCATTTTATCTACCCTTGCACCCGTAGAAGCAGTTCTGATTTTCACATCTTGTACCACGGTAGTAGTAGTAGTTGGTAGGACTGTTTTGTTACTCTTTCCTGAAAATTTCATTGAAGCATGTTCTAAAAATCCTTCAGTTTCGCAAGTTCTGCTAAAGTTCTTGCTTCCATTGGAGCATGTTGGAAGTATCCTTCTTGCCGTTTCTAAGCTCCCACATTTCCCATACTATCAATCAAAGCATTAGCTACTAAACAATCATATTACCAATACCATTTCTATAAACATAACCATGGATTGATTTACCATCCATGTTAAGTTTAACTTTCTTACTGTCATATTAAATTTATGCGAGTTATTATGGAAATTGCAATTCACTGAATGAAATCACTTTTTCTGGAGAGAGAATGTGGAATTGTGAATCTCTTACTGTATGAAGGAGAATTATATCTGTGGGTCATGGTCACATTAGCATAAAATCAATATCAATACTGAATCAGATATATTAATATCTATGCTATATACTAACTCCAAAACTGAAAAATATTGAATCAGACAATAAATCATTCATAACAATTGGGTATTATCTCGGTTTTGCTTAGTAAAAGATACCTCACACGAGTTTAAATTTTTACATATCCATCGTAGCAGATTTTGACGTGGGATTAAAATGTTTTCAAAACCAAATGAGCTCAACCGTAGATACAAAATCAGAAATGACCAGATCATTGGAATGAAGTTTTAATCAGTATGTTTGAACATAACATAAATATAATTTTTTTTATATAATTAAAGAATATTTTCAGAATGCAATCAGTAGAAGCAAAAGAATCTAGAGCAGTGAAATGGCAATTGAAATTGGTTGACAAAGCAACCAGCCAATAATATCACCACGAACTTTTTTATTAAAAAAAAACGCAGTCTGATGATGTTCAAAGATTTGATGCTATAAAGAAGAAAAAGTCAAGAGTCCTTTGTCTTTTCCATTCTCCATATTTTTTTAGCCAAGAAGACAGGAGAGCTGGGAGACTTTATTACAGGCAAAGTGATATGGGAAGAAGCTATTGGTATAACGATGTCCTACCATGCACCGCTATGGTTGCGGTAGAGTGCTCCAACGTAGTCATAAACATTCTATTCAAAGCTGCTTCTTCAAAGGGTTTGAGCTACTACACCTTCCTCGCATACTGTTACGCTTTAGCCACCATTGTTCTCCTCCCTGTAACCTTCTTCTTAATCAGGTCTTTCCTTTCCTTCTTCTGATGATCATCTGAAATCAGATGCATATATATTTTGCTCCAAAATCCTTTTTTTTAATTTGGTGTATGCAGAAAATCAGGGTTCCCTCGATTTAAGTTCCCTCTCATCTCTAGACTTTGCCTTCTTGGTCTTGTTGGGTATGGAAATGGAACTATACTGAATATGAAGCTGTAATTTTTGGTTTCTAGATTCAATTCTCTCTTTTCATATGGTATCAAATAAAAAAAGACAATATACCAAGACTGTGTTTATGTTTTGGAGACAGGTTTTCAAGTAAATTATGTGCTATAAAGGTTTGGAACTTGGCACCCCAACTCTTTTTTCTGCCATCAGCAACCTCATACCAGCTTTTACCTTCATACTTGCTGTTTTCTTCAGGTTTCTTCCTTCATACTTGATTGACTAATTCATAATGGTGAAACAATATTCATGATTTGTCGTTGACTAAAATGTTTCTGTCGATTAATTATGTCTTTCTTAATTTTTTCATCAAGGGCACAAGATAAATTCCAGTAAAATAGAGGAAAATAATTATCCGAAATTAACTCAATTGATTTATGTAGTCACCCTTAAAAGATGATATCCAACAGGTCTAGGTTGAATCCAACACTTGCAATTAATTCACTCGATTACAGCCTCTTTATATAAAAGAAGTATGGAAAATAAACATGTTTAAGGTAGCATCATCAGTCCAGTAACTCTTTACTCCCATCTTTGAATGCCAATGCCATAACCAGGATGGAAAAGGTAGCATTGAGAAGCTCAAGCACTCAAGCTAAAATCATTGGCACCATAGCATCAGTATCTGGTGCATCTGTGGTTGTTCTTTGTAAGGGCCCCAGAGTTCTTTCTTCGGAAGATTGGGCCCCATCATCTGTATTAATTCAACAGCCTCTGGGATCACCACAATCAAATTGGGTTATTGGAGGGCTCTTACTTGCTATGGGATATCTTTCTGATTCATTCTGGTATATTATTCAGGTAAAACTAGTTTCCAGCCCCTGTATCCTCTAGAAAACTGTTCATTTATATGTATTTCTGTATTTCATACCTGTGTCATGCTTCAAACTTAGGATTTAGAATTTACAGCGTCACGTACTCACGAGATGAGTCCTATATGTACGTAAGGCTATAGATAACCAAAAAACAAAATCTCTAAAATTATATCTTACAAAAACCTCAAGTCTCTAAGAATACAAAAGATACAACTTAATCTAAAGATGCAAAATCCCATTAACAACTATACAAATAATACCTAAATACTAAGTCATAAGTTGACAAAAGTGTGACACCCAATTTCACATAAAAAAATTCTAAGGATCTACTATAATATATAAGTAGATGCTTAAATCTAAATTTGTGAAGCATCTTTTGTAAGATAAAATTATGAAACCTTTAGGTTAAAGTGGATAATATCTTGCAAGTTAGGTGTGGATCTCTGTAAATGATATCAGAGTGGTTATTAGTTGGATGATGTGCTACACCATATGAGTCACCTTTATAATACTACGAGATCTAAGTACTACACGGTGAGAGTCACTTATAAAATCTTAACGTCTGATGTGATCTTGGTTCTATAGTTCTGTGTATACGGTTTTGTGATTCTGTCTGTGTGATAGGGGCGTCAAACTTTAACTGGACGGTTTGTGACACCTCAATTCAACATTGAGAGATTTTAAGGATTTGTTATATTATATAAGTAAAGGCTTAAATTCAAATTTGTGAGTCACTTTATGTGGGACAAAATTGTAATATCTTCGGGTCAAAGTGGATAATACCTTATAAGTTGGATGCAAATCTCCATAAAAAGTATAAAGGAAAATGCTAATTTAGCTAAAATAAACTCTACCCAAACTAATTCTCTGAAGATGCAAATGTCCAATTATGAAAATAGTATGAAAAGTAAAAGAATCAATGATATGATTTGAAATAATAGAGTAATTATCACAGCTCGATATTAGGACGTAACAAGACCATATTAACTTGAAGTATAACCCCAAAGTAATATGAAATCTTCATTCTCAATTATTCTAAAATTCTTCAATAAATTTATGATAAATCTCTATATATCTAAATGCAAACTAATAAAAAAAATACAAAATTATTTCATAAGATTTCATTAGCCAACATTGTCTCTAACGATTAAATAATTTTTTTCATTTTGATCTTCTAACTTCTTATAAGACTAATAAAACTTATCATTTACTCATATGTCAAAAGAATAAAAAAGAGGAATGAGCAAACTATAGCTCAACAAGTATAAGTTCATACACCTTACCGTATCAAGCATCATTTTCGTACATATCATATAGATTATTCAAAAACAACCATCAAATCATAATGTCAAAATATTTCACAAATCATCATTTTGTGAAAAGTTCGTAAACTCGTAAATCAATATCAAAATATCAATTCATAAATCATTTCAAAATATGCTATCATTTAAATATTACAATCAAACCAAATCATGGATCAATCTTTAAAATCATTACAAATCATCATAAATTATTAGTTTATTATTAGTTACAGTCACTGCTATAACCTGTGACATTGGTCATTCCATAATTTCATCATCATGTTAGCCAAGGCCTTATGATCATATCTATGCTAACTACTATAACCCATTAGCTAGGATTGTAGAACTAGTTTTGGTATTGATGATCCCACTTTCCAGGGATGTAATTTCATAACTATCATAAAATCATTATTTAAAGATAAATTCTTTTCTCATTTCATTCATAAGCATAATCCATCATTTATATAGTAAAACACAAAATAATCATATGCTTGACCTTATTTTCATATATTGAAAATAAAGATATAAACTTTCACTTATTTAGAACATACATATATACATAAGTTTGAAAATAAGCAAACTGTGTGAAATTCTACTTACCTCTTTTTGATTCCACCACTTAGTTTTTTCCTAAAATAGTTCATAGCCCATTCAAGGTCATTTCAACATATTAAAAATTAATTAATTTTTTTTGAGACCATTTATACTAAAAACAACTAAGTTACACAATAATTAACTCAATAACTAATATGGATAGCCTGAGCTTTTTTCATTAAAATAATCATATCTCAAGATATCCAATTCAAAATTAAGATCTTTATAGTACGTTAGAACTAGACTCGATAGACTTTCCAACCATATATCGCCACCTCTTAATTCCTCGTAGATTAATTGTAATAATTTTTGCAATCCATGTCATATGTTGGTTCCAGGCAGCATGTATACATTCTAGTAAAAATTAAATATTTATTCATAGAAAACTTCAAATTGAACTCCAAATTTCAAGCATGCAAGGTGTGTTGAGCCAGTGTGCAGACTAGTGCCTAACAATGTGTGTTATGCTAATGTACCATGCTGACAGATTAATGTATTGGTTTGTGGGAACTATAATCAGATCATTTGAGTGCTGACTAGAGTTAAGGTAATCCTTTGGTTGTGCATTCATGGTTTAACTGTTTATGTGTTTTAGGCTATAGCATGGCTAGAGAAAACCAAGTAGAGGGTTAGCATGAAGGCCATAAAGAGCGCCTACTTATAGACAAGTGAATGAAGGCTAAGGCAAGATATGTGTTGATAGACATTCAATTAACGAAATACAAGGAGACCATTTTTCATATAATAGATTGGTTCAGAGATATTAAAAGATCTTCGAATAAGGCAATGGCGAAGCTCATGTAGTGAAATGAGGAATTGGAGTCTATGGTGTCAACTTTACAAAAGAAGCTAGCGTGGTTCAAGGTTGACCATGTTGCATTATGAGCTGTCATTGGTGCAGATGCTTGCTTGGACCCATAGTTGAGGTATCTAATCATTTTATGGATGGTTTGAACCCGTGGGTAAAAATCGAGTTACAACGGAGAGGCATGCATGAGTCAAGTAGAACCAGAGTTGATGTGGAATCAAAGACTCAGGTTGAGTGATCGAGTCTACAAAGCCTAGGAGAGACACAGGTGATCATTTTTCAAAGGAGAAAAGGGTTACAGAGAAGTCCAGATTTTGTAAGCCTAACAAAACTATCAATAGGGATAAAGAGAAGAAGCCTTTAAGTTTATATTTTTGTGCCAGTCCATATCAGTTCAAAGAATGCTCGAAACTTTCAGCCATCAAGCAGGTAGAAAGATTGTCTGAAGATAAGAGTAGCAGTGATGAATAGCATTAGAAAGAGCCCAACGATGAATGGCCAAGTGCTATTCAAGATTGTTAAAGGGTTAAGGCTTCTCGAGGAGATGATAAAAGGAAACTAGTAGTAGTTAAGTGACACAATATAAGTCCCAGAGTGCAGCCAAATTTTTCATAAAAGAGTGTGTCATGGGTAACTTAGAAAAG